AAGCCATCTGCCACAAGCCTACAACAAGCATTAATCTCAACAGGGAAAAACTAAAAGCCTTCCCTCTAAGATCAGGGACAAGACAAAGATGCCCACTCTCACCACTTCTATTCAATAAGTACTGGAAGTAATTGCCATAGCAATTAGGCAAGAAGAAGATATTAAGGGCATCCATATAGGAAAGGAAGAAATCAAGTTCTCACTATTTGCAGATGACATGATACTACACTTAAAGAACTCTATGGCCTCTACCAAGAAGCTCCTAGAAATAATAGTTTTGATGTCATTGGTCCCTCAAAGATCATCATTCTATCCTGGTGACACCATACTGATTACTGGCCTCATTGACCAAGAATCTCTGGGCCTCCTGAGCACTGGTTGGGAGCTTCCCTCTCCCCTATGCCCTCAACAAAGTGAGAAAAGCTGAACTAATACTTCACCAAAGAAGATATACAGATAGCCAATAGGCACATGAAAACAAATTGTTCATTATCATTTATTATTAGGAAAGTGCAAAAATTAAAATAACAATGAGGTATCACCTCATGAGAATGGCCTATAGAGAAAAAAAATAGAACCAGAAGTAACAAGTACTGGAGTATATGTAGAGAAAAAGGAACCATCGTGTAATGTAAATTGGTCCAGCCTCTATGGAAAACAGTTTGGAGAATTCTCAAAAAATTAAAACTAGACCTACTGTCTGATCTAGCCATTCTACTCCTAGGTATAAATCCAAATCACACAAACAAATACAAATTTGAAAAGATGTATGCACACCTATATTCACCGTAGCACTGATTACAAAAGACTACATATGGAAACAACACAAATGCCCAATGACAGATGAGTGGATGAGAGTTATAAATAATGGAATTCTACTCAGCTATAATAAAAAATAGAATCTTGCTGTTTCTTTTTTAAAAACATGGATGAAACTAGACAGAATCATGCTAAGCAATATTAGAAAGAAAAGAACAAATACCACTCACTAAATGATCTTACTCATTTTACTCATGTCTGGTATAAAGAGAAACCAAACATGGGGCAGAATGACGACAGTACAAAGGGTAAGACATTTGCCTTGCATGTAGTCAATGTGGGTTTGATTCCTGGCATCTCACATGGCATCTCCCAAGCCAATCAGGACTGATCACTGAGCACAGAGACAGGAGAAAACACTGAGCACCACTGGGTTTGACTCCAAAACCAAAAAATAAATAAAGAAAAGAAAGAAAAGAAAAAAATAAAGAAACCAAACAAACAAGGATCCAAGGAAAACAAACCCTCACACTCTGACCACAGAACTGAGGTTACCAGGGGGGTGATAGGGGGTGGGCTAGAGTCCAGTGGACTGTGGTGAAGAAATACTGCCAATTTGTTGATGGGTGTGGCAGGGAACACAATACCTCTAAAACACAGAAACATTATAGTCATGTTAACTAGTGTTACCTCAAAAAAAAATTAATGATCAGATGCCAACCCCGCTCCCCAACCAAGAAAGCAAGCAAGCAAAGCAAGGCTATTACCCTCTTAGCTAGAAAAATTGTCCCTGAAAATTTCTACATATAACTTTAGCAGGATGGCAGATCTATTGAATTCTCTAGGAGTTCATGGTTCCCCAAATGAAAAGCTGCCACTTTAGGTGAATATAAAGGATTATAACACCTAATCTTTTGCTTTCCTCTTCCTCTCTAAAGTGCTATACTCCTCACCAAATCTGCAAAACTTTCAGCAGAGGTTAGGATGTTTACAGGAAGCCCAGTAAAATTATATATGAGATTTTGGGGGGCTGTGGCAAGTAAGCTCCAACACGAGATGTGAAAGTCCATAACAGGGGCTGGAGCGATAGTACAGCACGTAGGGTGTTTGCCTTGCACGCGACGAACTTGGGTTCTATCCCTGGCATCCCATATGATCCCCTGAGCACTGCTAGGAGTAATTCCTGAGCATTGGCAGGTGTGACCCAAAAAGAAAAAAAAGAAAGAAAGAAAGAAAGAAAGAAAGAAAAACCCAGTCCATAACAGGTCCTAATGTCAATAAGAGCAGACTTCACATGGACCCCTACCATCCTCTTCCTAATGCGTGTGACCTTCAGTGAGACACTTTACCTCTCTGAGCTTCAGTGTTTTCATCCATGAAACGAGTTTTATTTTATTATCAGTCTCATCTCCCTCCCTGGGCTATCATGAAGATCAGATGGGATAACGGGCAAGAGAGCATCTTGTAAACTTAATTGCCATACATTATGTGAAGGGCAATATTAGTTCATTGGAGCAAGGCATGATGGGACCCTACAGTCAGGCTCTTTTGGACAACAGACTCTCTGCAAACTACAGCTTCCCTATACATTGTCTCCTCCTACTTTTTCCAAATCCAATTTCTTCCTAAAAGTTAGCTGGGCTCCTCAGGTTCTGATTCACTCAGCACCTCCATTCTTCTGTGGTACTAGTATAGTCATCTTCTCTTGGACTCTACCTTTTCGCTTTGACAGGCATTTGGCTCCAGACGGAGCTACCATGTTCTCATGTAATTCAACTTCCTACAGGTGAGTGGCCTAAGTGGGCCCAAGACAGGCCAAATCGAAGGAACTTTCTGGCCTTTCACCATCCCAGGACTGTCAGCTCAAACTTAAAAAACCGAGATTTCTGGCTGATGGAGGAGGCTTTATGTCATCAGCTGCTGTCCTTCCCATCCTTCTCCATCCTACAGCATGAAGGTAAGAAGTGCAGTGAAGAAGCACCAGATGCCTGAAGCTAAAGAACAGAGAGGAACTGACAGAGATGCACAGGGAGGCCACACAGGGGTGAGCCCCTGTGTCAGGATGTCCCCGAGGTCCATATAGATTCAGCCTCTCATGCAAACTGACGGCTCACCTCCTCCTTCACAGCCAACTTATTTCCCTTCAGTGTGTGCTAAGTTGAGTTTTGCTTTTGTCATTCACAGTCCTAAGAGCCAAGAATGAAGGCAAAGTTACAGCCCCAGCCCCAATGCCAACCTCTCTAGAAGGCTCTCTCTGATGCCCTGACATCAGCTCTTCCCAGGTGTTCTCCCACTGGCCTGACTAAGGTTCATTTTTGCTGGTAAGAATGTCTTTAGTAGTGGTTAGAGAGATAGCACAGAGGGGAAGAAGCTTCCCTTGTACACAGCCAACCCAGGTTCCAATCCCTGGGACCCTGAACCCCGTGAGGATTGATCGTTGAGCACAGAATCAGGAATAAGCCCTGTGGCCCAAATATCCACGCTCCAAGAAAAAAATGTATATTATAGAAGAAAAACTGGCTGTGTGTGTGTGTGTATAAAGCAAAGTAGTTATATTTATAAAAATTCAGAAAAAATGTGTGTGTATGTGTGTGTGTATGAGAGAGAGAGAGAGAGAGAGAGAGAGAGAGAGAGAGAGAGAGAGAACAGGCTTCTCTAGAGAAAAAAGTCTCACACTGACTGTTATGTTGTTACTCTTACTTTCTAGTGTGGGCACAAGGGAAAAAAGCAGAGACCTTGGAACTATGGACTGGGGCCTTAATTCTGTAAGTACCATGAATAGCTCTGTGACCTTGGAGAGGTTCCTAAATGTCTCTGGGTTAAACCTGTCTCAACTGTAAATGAGGGAGTGAATCATTTCCTCAAAGGAAAACAAAAGAGTTTAATAAAATAAGGTAGTAAAAAAGAATCTAGGAGTGTAGCTGACACTTGGTAAATGTACAACAGAAGGAGATTTTTCTTTCCTGTCACCCCTTTTCATTTGAGGAATTATGGAACCAAACGGTGAAGAGACTTTTCTCACTGAGAGCTAGAGTTCACACTGACCCTTGAGCTCCACAGGCCCCCGCGAGGATAAAGCAGCCAAGAAGCTTCCACCCCCCCACCCCCCACCCACAACCCCCCACGGAAAGCTCTTTAGTATTATTATCCTGTAGGGAAATCCATAGTTGGTAGGGCATTTGCCTTGCATGAGGCTGACCCGGGTTTGATTTCTCCGCCCCTCTCGGGGAGCCTGGCAAGCTACCAAGAGTATCCTGCCTGCACGGTAGAGCCTGGCAAGCTCCCTGTGGCATATTCAGTATGCCAAAAATAGTAACAACAAGTCTCACAATGGAGATGTTACTGGTGCCCGCTCAAGCAAATAGATGAACAATGGGAGGACAATGTTACAGTGCAGGGAAATCCCAAAGCAACTATGAGAAAGTCCTTCACAGGTATGAGGGTGCAGTTAGAATGAAAAAGATAAAATGGTAAATACTGCTGAAGGCAAGGAGAAACTTGAACTTTTTCACTGCTAGAGCCAAACATTACAAACACTCTGGAAAAGAGTCAAGGGTTCCCCCCTCAAAGTAACGTCTGGAATAATTCTATGTATGACCCAGCAATTCCTCTCATGGGCACAAACCCAAGAGAATGGAAAATATGGGTTCTCATAAAAATTCAAACTGGAATGTTTAGCATAGAAATATTCACAGTAGCCCCAAATGGCAACAGCCCAAACATCTACCAGCTGCTGACTGAAGAATGAAATGTGTGACCCCCTTACAACAGTCAGTCATAAAAAAAGGAAGGATGAGATGCCAGAAGCCACAATAGCTTCCAAAAATGCTACTGAGAGGAGTCAGAGTCAAGAGGCCATGCTGTGTGATTCCTGTCATATGGAAGCCTCAGGAGAGGAAAATTCACAGAGACAGACAGTGAAAGATTAATGGCTGGGGACGGCAAGTGACCGTCGAGTGGTACCAGGTTTCTTTGGGAGGTGACAGGAATGTTCTGGAATCAGAACCATGGCGATGACTGTACATCATCTCCATGGTTCTGATATATTAAAAAACAAAGATATATTACAAAACAAAGCCAAAACTGAATGGTACTGTTCAAACAGGGGGACTGTACATCAGATCTCAGCCTAAAGACAGATAGGAAACTCCTCAGACACGGAGCTCTGACACACCACTGGACCCAGTGTCCATGAGCACAGAAGCAGGCATGACGGCAAGGCTGCTAACCACAGGACTCACCTGCTCCCAGGATGGCTGGAGGACCTGGCGGTCCTGGGGGTCCTGGGGGTCCAGGGACACCAGGTCTTCCAAAGCCAGGTGGTCCAGGTAGGCCTGGAGCCCCTGGGGGTCCTTGGGGCCCAATGATTGTCTCCCCTTTCTGGCCCTGTCAAGATAAGCACATAGTGACAGAAGAGAGAGAAGAGAGAGAGAGAGAGGAGAGAGAGAGGAGAGAGAGAGAGAAAGAGAGAGAGAGAGAAAGAGAGAGGGAGAGAGGAGAGCTGTCAGTCACTGCAGGTCCCATCCCTTCTCCTGAAGGGGACAGTCAGAGAAGTTAGGCAATCCCAGCTGTCCTTACATCTGAGTCCCAGACACTCTCAGGGAGGCACAGGAATTAGGGATCAGCAGGTTGACATGTAGTGAAGGGCATTGGGCAGAGTCCCTGAGAGCCCTGAGTCAGAAGGGCTCAGTCTTTTCATTACATAGATGTAGAAACTGAGACCTAGAGAGGAAAAGGTTTGCCCAGAGCCTCACTGCAAAGACCCACAAAGCATTCCTGGTTTTGGTAGCTGAATACTCCTGGGGTGAGCTCTGGGAGCAGAGAATGTTCCTGGTTTGTCTGTGAGAGTCAGTAGTCTGGCCATCGTCTTGTTGGAGGTCAAACTCTATTTTCTCTTTTGGGGCCTGGAGAAACTTCTTGTCTGAAGAAGACCAGGCCTGTCTAAGGGCATCTTTTCTGGCAAAATTTGAGAAGCATCCAATTGCCCCTTTTAAAACATCTCCCTCACCTCCCTTTCTGCCTTCACTGCATCTACGGTGACTGACTCTGTGTTGCGTGAACAACGTCTCATCGAGGACACAATATAATATGGTAGAATGGTGAGTGAGCTGGAAGCTGCCTGGGCCCACTCCCTTCCTCTGGGCCACATACTGCATCAGTGAAAGCCATCAGGTTAGGCCCTGACGTCAGTACAGGCTGCAGAGACCAACACTTGCTCCAACTGTCTGGTCCTACAGGGGCTTCCAGGAAAGCTGTGTGACTCAAGGAGGAAGGTGACAGGGAGGAGGCTCAATACTCACAGCTGCACCCGGATATCCCGGCAGGCCTGGAGGCCCAGACATAAAGAAGTCGCTGTGAGGATCCCCCTTCTCTCCTCTGATGCCTCTGTCTCCATTCTCCCCCTAGAAGCAGAGAACATTAAATAAGAGAAGGACAAAGGCACCCCGAAAACTTACAAGCACGCAGTCAATCCTGAAGGGAAACGTGTACCTTCAAGCTGTTGATGAAGTGACTCAGGTAAACCGGATCAATGGGGGGTCCTGGAGATATAAAGCTTCGTGAAATTCACAATCATAGTCTCAGACATTGAGAAACAAAGTCTCCCACTGGCTTCCATGATGTTTGCTTAGGACAATTCATGTTGGCAAACAAAGGGAGCTTGGACTTGGGGACAGAACCATCTCTGCTCTGGGCTCCAAATAGGCCCTACAGTGTGGGTTCCATGGCACGTCCCCTCTCTGCACCATGAAAAATGGGAATATCTGGCATCTTTTGACAATGATCCATCTGGGACGCTCAGTGCCCAGGACTAGGTCTGGATCTACAAGCCATGGTGGCCACATTCTTGGTCTTAATTCCTGGCTCAGATGTCTCAGGAAAAAAGAAAACTCAAACACAAACCCCCCAATTAGAGCTGGAATACCTGGTGGTCCCTGGGCTCCCTGTTCGCCTTTTTCTCCTTTGGAGCCGGGAAGACCCCAGGATCCTTTTTCGCCTTTGACACCTGTCACCAAACACATATGTTAAAAACCAGCTTCGCCTTCTAGATTACAATCTGCTTAAATTCATCTACTTGTGGCATCTCTCAAGCAGTTCCCAGGATGTGTGTGGTGGTGCAGGCCTGCAGGTTTGGTGCCTGGTGCTGTTTGGGCCCAGGGGTACTTAGGACACCAAGTGGTGTCAGGTTCAGACCTTACTCTACCTGCAGGACATGTGCTCCAGCCCCGTGAGCCAGCTCCCCACCTGGTCATCTAGTTCCCCATCCAGTGCTGGGACCGGTTTCACACTGAACCCAGTGAGCACAGCTGGCAGGACAAAAGCCCACGGACGGTCTCTAAAATTCTTTGTGAAATGAGAGATCGGGTGGGTGCAGATGGAGCAGACCTGTTTCCTGCTCTTGAGAACTTGTTCTCCCAGCAGACAAGCACACAGCACGTGGTAGGGGGCAGGATGGATGCCCAGTAGGTACCAGCAGAGGACTGGGAGGGGAGAGGAACTCCCCAAGAGCAAATGCACTAAAGGGATTCAGGGATCACTTCTGCAGCTGGAAGAGTGTCAACTGCATGCCCCCCACGTGTATGTACATGTGTGTGCATGTGCACGCGTGCACACACACACACACACACACACAACTGAACTTACATGCTCTCCCTTCTCCCTGACTCTCTACATGGGAAAGGGGCACAGAGGGAACCTCGTGGGGCCTGAGTCTGGACCAAGGAGGATCCCTTCTCCCCACCTTGATGGGATGGTGAGCACTAGGTCTTTGAATTCCTGGTTCATAAACCTGGTGGAGATGGTGCTACCCAGTGCAAAGTTGGGGCATAGAATATAGTCAGGCTTCCCCAGCATTGGGGGAGGGATGTGTCAGCGCATGACACAGCCTGCTGTTGGATGCCAATCCTGAACAAAGCTCATCAATGCAGGCTGAGCGGAACCAAGCAGAACTCACTGAGAAGAGAGAGATCTGTCTCCTTCCAGCCCTCCCAAAGGAATCCCAGGGAAGGAGAAAGCAAACACAGTTTCTCCCCTTCTGCCCCAGCTTGCCCCAGGGGAACCTCCCTGGGGAAGGGCTGGAGCAATAGTACAATGGGGAGGGCATTTGCCTTGCATACGGCCAACCAGGGTTCGATCCCTGGCATCCTATAAGGCCCCAGAGCACTGCCAGGAGTGATTCCTAAGTGCAGAGTCAAGAGTAAGCCCTGAGCATTGCCGTGTATGACAAAAAGCAAAACAAAAACAAAAATAAAAAAACACCAAAAAGTCCCTGGGGGGAGGCGTCATGGAGTAAGGCACACGTGGCAGGCAGGGGTGCAGGGAGACAAAGGGCAGAGTGGGGGGTGTGAAGACCAGGACCCAGAGTGACACTCACTGTTGGCTCCTGGGGCCTGTCCCTGCACTCCCAACCCACGTGTCCTGCCCATGCAGAGGGCCACTGATCAAACACCAGGGGCTGCGGGCTCACACCTCAGGGGGGCTTGGTAGAGGGGAGATCCAGGCGGTGCGGCCTGGCTGAGTCTCTGCAGTTCTGTCTGTTCCTGGCAGAAGCTGAGAGCACTGAGGAGCCAAGCCTCGAGCTCCCACGGCTTCTCTGCGTGACCTCTTGGCATGTGGGGCCTCACCGACATTTCAGCTAGGTGCATCTAATGGAGTCGGCGGGCTGGGAGGTAGGATTCATGTCTCAGCCACACATGCATGGCACAGCACCACTCAGCAGAGAGGTGGGCTCCCCACATAAACTGATGCCCAGATGGACAAACAGCATATTATTCCCCACTCAACAGAGGCTTGGCCGTGAGGGACAGAGCAGACGGTGTACGGCAAAGTCCAGCCACACACAGACCCGTCTTCCAGATCATCAAGCTCAGGCCCTGCCCGGGACCAGTGGAAAACACCCACTGCAGAGCACCAGGATCTCGAAACATCCCCGAGACACACAGCGGGGAAGGGGCTGCATACCATGGAAAGTGATGAGCTCTGCGTTGTCGGAATGGTTGGGGATCACCTGGAGAGAGAGAAACAGGGTCAGAGGGTGTCCGCCCCCATGCCTGGGTTGTACCTGTGGAGGAAGGGGCACAAGAGTCCCCCAAATCTCCAAGTTCCCTATGTACTCAAACACGCCAGGACTTACTGGGGTCTGTTGTGTAGCTTGTGTGGGGGAGACACTCGAGACCTACTGGCCCAGCAACTTTGCAGAGGGGAAGCCCCAAACTTAAAGACACAAAGCTGGGCCACCTCAAAGCTTTGCCACCCTAAACAGGTGTCAATGAAAAACCCATGGCCAGGGCTCTCAGTTGTCATTCCAAGTTCCTGAGAGCAAAGAACTCAGCTGCCCCTTTGTCCCAGAAGCCAGCCAGCAGAGTACTGGGCTCTCACTCAGAGCAGTTGATTAAATGTTTGTTGACTGAACGGGTGTGATTAGACACAGCACTGGGAGGAACATCCTTGCCCAGGAAAGGTCCACCCTCCTGCATCTCCCCCACAAAACCAAGACTCTCTGAATGTGGGGGACTTTGGGGTCTGTGCCCATATCCAGAGAGGGGACCTCCCCATCACCCCGACCCATGCTGGTATCTGGTCCGGGGTGATGAGGAGGCCTGGGTTACGGTTGCAGTGGCAGCTGCCCATCTTCCATGACCTTGCACAGGTCAGGGGGGCCTGAGATGCAGCTTTCCCTGTGGCTAGGTGGGAGCTGTGTGCTTGCCCCTGAGGGCTGGACGCGTGTGGGAAAACCAAGCACACACTCAGGGAAGAGATTTGGGTGCCCCTGTGCTCAGAGCCCAGCTGGAATTGCTTACTTTGGTTTCTCATCTGCATCTTTTAAAGGGTCTATGCGCCCCCCCCCCGAATATCCGGCTCCATGCTGGGGGCTGATGTGGAGACAGGGACCGAAGACCCACACCCCAGTACAGTGCACCCTGAGGAGATGAGATGCGCTAGCACCACAGTGATCTAGAAGCTTCTAGGATTTCACATATAGGTGACAAGAGGCAGGAAAGCTGGTGAGCAGAAGGCCCCCCAAGGCGGATCTGGTGTGCTCTCAAGGGCAGGGCTGTGGCTACTCACCGGCGTTTTGCAGTGTGGCCGTGCAGGGACGGGGAAGACGGTCTGTGTGAAGCGAGAAAGGGAAGGCGTGGGTCAGGCTGTCCAGACAAATCCCTACTCTCCCAGAACCCCCCCCCCCCACTTACTCCTTTGATGTTAACCACAGCACCAGGAGGTCCAGGGGGGCCTGGGGGACCAGGTAAGCCTGGAGGGCCCTATAGGGAGAGAAGAAAAGGGGTCACCGAGTTTCAGGTGTCGTGAGGGCAGAGGGAGCTACAAGACCCTTTCCCAGGATCTGGGACACAACAAAGAAAGGAAGGTCCTCCCAAACCAACAGCCTTTTCCTGCAGGAAAGACAGCACCTCCTCTCAGTGGCCTGTCTCTACCACAGTCTCTGGACAGCACAGAATGGATGTTTTCTCACTTTTACATGGAGATGAGAAGACCCAGAGCGGGGAAAGACTGACTCAAGGTCACAACAACCTAGACCAGACCAGATTCTGGCTGCCAGAGTGCTCAGTCCCTCATGTCAATGAATCGCCTCTCTATCTGGGGATCCACGTGGGGGAAGGCGGTGGGGGTGGGGGTAGCATCCTTCAGGTGAATGGTACCTGGGAGGAGGTTTCACAAAAAAAATAACCATGTTCATGTTGGGTGGGAGAGCTGGGTTCAGAGGTCACAGAGCCTGAAGCCCAGGCAGGACCAATAGTCGGAGGACTGAGGTCTCAGGCTCAGTGGTTTTCCCATGGTTGGTCTGCAGCAGCTTAAGGCCACATGCAGGTGTGAGGGCCCACAGGTGTGAGGGCCCACAGGTGTGTCCTCCCACAGGTGTGACCTTCCACAGGTGTGACCTTTCATAATTTTGTGACCTCTCACATGTGTGACCTCCCACAGGTATGACCTCCCACAGGTGTGACCTTTCATAGTTTTGTGACCTCTCATAGATGTGACCTCCCACAGATGTGATCTCCCACATGTGTGATCTCTTATAGATGTGACCTCCCAAGGTGTGACCTCTCATAGATATGATATCCCAAGGTGTGACCTCTCATAGATGTGATCTCCCATAGGTGTGACCTCCCACAGGTGTGACCTCTCATAGGTGTGATTTCTCACAGGTGTGACCTCTCACAGATGTGACCTCCCACAGATGTGACTCCCACAGGTGTGACCTCCCAAGGTGTGACCTCTCATAGATATGATATCCCAAGGTGTGACCTCTCATAGATGTGATCTCCCATAGGTGTGACCTCCCATAGGTGTGACCTCTCATAGGTGTGATTTCTCACAGGTGTGACCTCTCACAGATGTGACCTCCCACAGATGTGACTCCCACAGGTGTGACCTCCCAAGGTGTGACCTCTCACAGATGTGACTTCCCATGGATTTGATGTGACTTCACATCTCACAGATGTGACCACCCACACAGGTGGGAGAAGTTTGCAAAGCACTGACTACATACCTGCATCATGATCCCTCGATCTCCTTTGGTTCCCTTGAGGCCATTCAGTCCAGGACGACCCTAAAAGGCATAGATGCCTTAGTATACCGCACCCATAGGCCCTCGGTCAAACCCACCCTGTCTCCTCTCACCTCCCCTCTCAGGGACCCCCACACCTACAGGGCGTCCAGGGAGGCCAAATTCTCCTTTGTGTCCTGGTGGTCCTTTGGGTCCCTAAAGGCAAAACCAACAGGAGAATAGAGAAAGATTAGCCTTGGAGGGGCCTTGGTGGGCAGGAGGAAGGTGGGTGAGGAGCAGCCAGGAGGTGCACACCTGCTGGGCATGCATGTCCCAGCTTCCAGCAGCAGTTTTCGCCCAGCCCCTGCCCTGCCAAAACCCACCAAGGCTCTGCCCCAAGTCTGACTCTTCACCAGCCCCCTAGGCCACCAGGGCCAATGGGAGAGTGCTCAGGGACTCTGTCCTCATCAGCCAGGTTGTCAGGGCCAGTCCAACTCAGAATTTGGATCTCAGCCCCAGAGTCCTGTTCCAGGGCTTCCTATACTCCACAAAGAACACCCCTCCATCCCTCGAGACAGCCTGGCTGATAATCATAATTTGGTTCTACCTTGCTCCCAACTATCCCTCAGCAACTATCCCTGGTCTGGCTCCCAGATCTCTTGAAAGTCCCAGACTCAGAGGTCCTGTTCTGGGGTTGACTTTCTTAGAGAGAACCGGTAGTTTCCAAGCTATCCTGTTGCCCAATAATTACGATATCCCAGCTCAGAAAGGCAAAAGGCACCAGCACATCCCTTCCTAAGTCAGGCGGGGGAAAAAAAAACCCTTAGAGAAGAGCACAGTCTCATGGTCTCACTGGAGCCCAAGAGCAGTGATCCTGGACCAGGAGCCAGAAATCCAGAGAGAAATATGTGTGGTCCCTCTGAGGGACCCCCTGAGCCAGAACTGTGCTATAATAGCTCACTCCACATCCAGTTCTCTGCATACACAACACAATACAACACAACCACATTTTGCAACCTGCTCTCTTAGTTCTGCTCAGTGGAATGTCCTAGAAGTGATGTTCATCATATTCCCTGGCCTTTTTGTATCCCCATCTCCACCTGCACTGCCGGCCGATACCAACATGACCTTGAATGTGCAAGATGGCAGTGGGCAGGAGGCAGTCCCTGCGTGGAGAGGAGTGATGTCCAACTAAGAGCCGTGTACTTTCAAGAGTGAACACTGAGACATCTGTGCTAAATGACTGAGATTTTTTGGGGGTCACACCCAGCAATGGACAGGGGTTACTCCTGGATCATGCACTCAGGAATTAGTCCTGGCAGTGTATGGGGGACCATATGGGATGCTGGGAATTGAACCCCATTGGCCAAGTGCAAGGCAAACGCCCTACCCGTTGTGCTATCGCTCCAACCCTGATAATTTTGATCCAGCTACACACACACAGAAACAAACACACACACACACACACACACACACACAGACAGAAACACCCACACACATAATATGCCATGTCTTCCTCACTGTTGCAATTTGCATGTCATGTCACAATCAAACTGTGAGCCAGTGTGGGAAAAGCTTCCGACCCTGCCTGAGTGGACTCACCATTGGTCCGGGGGATCCGTGCACTCCGGGTTCACCCTGGATAGGAGATAGGGGAGATAAGGGTTGTCACTCAGAGGTCCACCACTTATGGCACAGACAGACGTGTGCTCCCCAGGGCCTGCGAACACCCTTACCTTTTCTCCCCTCAGCCTCTCCAGTGGGACTTCCCCCGTCAGGATGGCGCCAGGCTCGCCCTTCTCGCCCTGTGATGTGGAGAATCCAGAGGTAAAGTTGGGATCCCAACCCTCTCTGTCCTACAGTCAGAGGGAGAGTCTCTTTCCCCCACCCCCCCAATTCAGTCTGACACGACCTCTGGCTAGAACATTCCAACAGCCTCTCAGGAAGGAGCAAGGGTCTCTCCCACACACCATCACTGGGTTCACTGGGCTCCTGCATGCTGCTCCTGAGCTTGCCAAGTCATGCATCCCCAAACCCCCAGCGAGCCAGCCCCCAGGTAGGTCTCTGCCCTCTCTGGCTTCAAGCAGGCTCCTGACACATCTGGTGGCTTAGCTTGCCTGACTTCACATGAGACCCGTTCCCACCCCCAAGATGTTGAAAACTGGGCAAGAAAAATGAAGCCACAAACAGAGAAGGTCTTGCTCAACACAGTGGGTGGGGCTGCATCCTTGTGTCCCATGTGGAGCTTTGCTTCCAAAATCCAGCTTTCCATGCAAACCCTCCACTATTCAGAAAAAGTCCCCCTGAGCTACTGGGGGCAGGGACAAGGTGAGTGGCAAAGAGGCAGCACCCGCCTCCATCCTGTCCTCCACAGAGCTGGCCACTGTCTGGGGTTGGGAGAAAAGTCCAGGTAGAGGAGGGTCTCACCTGCTGCCTTGGTCCCAAACCCCACTGCTGGTCCCAGTGGGGCTGGTCTAGAGCTCGCAAAGGAACGAGGCCAGCGGTGCCAGGGTGGCAGAGCCAAAGCGAGCAGAACAGTCTCTTCTCTCCCTCCCCCAGCGCCCCCTGGTCCTGGGCTCTTACCGCTCAGCTGGCGAGGAGAGGCACAGTCCTGCGCAGGCCAGCAGTAAGAAGGAGCAAGCGCAGAGGCGTTAGAGGCAGAGCGAGAGAGAGAGCACGTTAGCTGTCACGGCCGGAGCAGCTGCCCAGGCACCCGACCCGGTTGTGAAGGTGGCAGGGGATCCGTTCCAGAAACATCCTTCTGATCTTGCCACAGAGTCAAGGGTGTGTAAAGCGAGAGCTGCTCTCACCCAACCTGGCCTTCTCCTGAGTTACGGGCGACCCTGTCCCTACCTTATTTCTGTAGACTTATAAAAGCAATGACGCCTCCCAAGACAGTGTTCTCCCCACCCACCATGTGCCAAAGTTAGACCCCTCTGCCCAGTCCTCTGGGCATCCTTGGGAAGTGCTCCAGAGGCTTTGTGTATATGGCAAACTTTTCAGACCAAGAGTATCAACCAGCTGCAGAATGCCTCAACCTTCAGTGTCGAACCAGGAGAAGTCACTGCGTTCCTAAGTTACATCTCCTCTCATTGGACAAGGGTTTCAAGGGTCTTTATGTCCTGGGCCCAGGGCTCAGGATTGAAGGGATGGAAAAGAGGCTGCCTGCAGAGAACTCATATGCCAACCTGGGGGCCCACGACAGCCAGACCATGCACAGTTCATGGGACAACAGCATGCCAGGGTGTGTGGCTGTGGATCCCCTTTCCAAGCTAGGAAGAAAACCAATGTTCCTACCCATTTGGATGAACCTCAAAACGCTAATGAATGACCCTCGGGGAAGCACAGAGCCCATTTCTGCCAAGGAAAATGTTCTAGAAGGTGCTGGTTGTGACTCGTGTCCAACCTTGCCACTATATGGAAAATCACAAGGGCTTGTCATTTAATAAGATGGATTTTATGGCAGGTGAATTCTATTTCAAGTTTAAAGAAAAGGGAAGGGTCACTTTCAGTCCATTTGCAGGTCAGCCCATTCTGGAGCACAAGCCTATCGAAGCCATGAGGCTTCCTCTCACCTGATCTCCTTTAAGCCCTGGAAATCCAGGCACGCCAGTGTCACCCTTCGGTCCTCTAGGGCCCTGGAAGAAACCATTGGAGAGCACTTTACTGTTAGGGAAGACTAAAAATGCTTTAACCGAAACCAAGTATTTCTTCCCGAGAAGGGAAAAGAGTAGGCCATGCCCTTGGTAGGCAGAAGCCAACTCTCACCCTGCTGGCTACCCAGAAAGACAGAGCTCAAGGCGTGCTTGGCACCTACCAGTCATTGCAGCCAGCCTCCACCCTCAGCTTCTATTTCTCCTCCCACGACCTGCCACCTTTCACGGCTCCCCAAGGTCTCTGAGCTTCTGTCCTTGCTGTTCTCCCTGGCAGGAAAGCCCTTCCAGCCCCTTCTTGCAGCACCAAATTCCTCATACTGGGTCAGAAGTCTGAGCCCTGACATTCACTGAGTATCATCGACAAGTACTCCTATAGCCTGACATCTGCCCCCACTCCCCGCAATCATCCCTCCTGCCCCCTGCAGGAGTTTCAACACTTGATTGCAATTTAGCTTTTCACAAGGTCCTCTCTTGTCTTCTGGGTCGAAGGGTGATTTCCCCATGAGAGGGGAAGTTTTTGCATCTTTTGATTATCTTCTGCAGTGAGAATCTTGCTGCTCTCTCCTTCTTCACAACCCCCGCCCCTGCAAATACCAGCCCAGTAAATACAGTGTATCTATGGAGGGTCCCAGCCTTACTTCGTCCCCTCAGTGGGCCCAAAGGCTCTTCTGAGATGTGGGGCTTCCCAGGGAGCATAGGCCATATAGAGGGGACTTTGCGGGAAGATGTGCCCCCACTGACTGCAGCTCAGGAGGGGCTGGAGCTTGAGCTGTGGTCTCTGCTTTCCCCCTGCCCAGGAGACTCCCAACCTCCACCCCTGCCCCTGCTTTTTAGCCCAGCCCATGAGGATTGTTTTGTTTTGGGGGGCATTGTTTTGATTTGGTGAAGCTCAGGGGTTACTCCTGGCTCTACACTCAGGAATGACTCTTTTTTTTTCTCTCTCTCTTTTTTTTTTGGGTCATACCCAGCAATGCACAGGAGTTACTCCTGGTTCATGCACTCAGGAATCCCTCCTGGCGGTGCTCGGGGGATCATATGGGATGCTGGGAATCGAACCTGGGTCGGCCGCGTACAAGGCAAACACCCTACCCGCTGTGCTATTGCTCCAGCCCCTCAGGAATGACTCTTGGCGGGGCCCTGGGGAAACCTACAGGATATCAGGGATCACACTTGGGTTGGCCGCCTGCAAGGCAAGAGCCCTACCTGCTGCACTATCACTCCAGCCCAGAAGCATTTTCAGAGTCACCATTGGACTACGATGCTTTCAGAAAACTTCAAAAGCTGAGACATGACTGTAAGGATGGTGTCACAATGGTGGATATCAAGGTTTGTCCTTAATGGTGGACAAACGTGAACCACTTGTGTCCTACTGTCCTTTATTCCTCCTAGAAGCAGGTGTGGGCACCCACCCTCCCAACCGGCCGTGCAGACTCACACTGAAAAAGACCCTGGGCTTCAGCACCCAGAAATGCACCTTCACCGCCCAGGAGCAGGCCTGAGAGGCGTGTCCACAGAGGGTGGATGGTTAGACACCCGTTCCTTCTCCCTCACCATGACGCCAGGCTGTCCCCTCTACAATGCTATCTCCTTGGGCTATCTGTGGAGCAGGGGGACTCCCTAACAACACTCAGGGGCTCCGGGGGCCACTCTCAGCAATGCTCATTGGGCCTCATGTGTTTGAGAACTCAGTGCTCTGGCTCAACTCGCAGCGCTGCCTGGGCCCAGCAGTGCAAGGGGGAGTGGTCCCAACCCAGGGCCATCCCAACTGAGCTCTGCGGGCTGAGCTGGGGTGCTGGGCCTGGCACACCACCTCACACCACCTCTTTGGGCTCTCTCCCGGCACAGCTGCACTGCATGAATTTGAAAGGCCTGAGGCATTCACTTGCACACAGAAGTCTCTGGGCACAGGCCCAGCAATGCTTGGCCCTGGTGGAGGCCCACCCTGCACGAGCCAACCGTCGAACAATCACAAGGGACAGGGCAGGGGAGGAACAGATGCCCCACAGGCGTACAGGCGGGAAGGCTTGGGCCAGAGAGAACAGACCACAGGGCTGAGACACGCTCCACACCAGAGACCCAGGCTTTTTTTTTTGTTTCCTCTTTGAGGGTCACACCCAGCAATGCTCAGGGGTTACTCCTGGCTCTGCACTCAGGAATTACTCCTGGCGGTGCTCGGGGGACCATATGGGCTGCCGGGGATGTGGAAGGCAAACACCCTCCCCACTGTACTATCACTCTGCCCTTCTAGAGACCCAGGCTTGATCCTTGGCACTTCTCCCCTGAGTATCACTGGGAGTGACTCCTGAGCACTGAGAGCCTGGAGCAATCCTGCAAAACAAGGAGGGGCAGGTGCATGGAGAAGGGACGGGGCCCCAAGAGAGGAGACCGCTGTCGTACTTACTGGAAATCCCGGCAGTCCAGGCACGCCCTCGGGTCCCTGTGACATGCAAAAACAAAGCAGTGGGTCAGAAGCCACGGAGAACTGCGACCCGCCCATGGGCCAGCCCTCTCCCGCTTCCAGAGGCTGAGCCAAGCTGTGGATTCTCATAGCAGGGCTTGGATCTACTTCAGGGGCTTCAGGGAAGACCCCAGAGGGACCTGCACAGATACCTGAGACCAAATAAGGGGCTGGCAGGGGGCAAGTTAGGTCACTTCTCCCCCGCCCCTTCCCCCCCCCCCCCCCCAAGTGGGAGCAAGGATGGGAAAAGGCCCAGCCCAGCATTTGAGGCCAGGACATAGGGGAGGGAGCTGACTCTTTGGGCAGGCCAACCTGAGCCCAGGTGGCTGGGCAGGCAGCAGGGTCTGGCCCCATGACTGCAGGCAAAGAGCTGGCTACCAAGTTCCCCACATGCTGTCTTCACAAAGAGGGGAGAAATGGTGGTGATGACCAGGATGCGGGTCCTCATGGGGACCACTGCCTCTGAACAGGAAAAGCCTGAACACCCCTCACCATATCCCAACCCCCAGGGCCAAAACCCCTCAAGGGTCTGGATGGGTCGGACTGGAAGGCAGGGCACTCAGGGTGGAGGGACGCAGATCAGAGGCCACTGGGGTTGACTTGCCATTCAACCCATCCAACACCCAATACCTCCAATAGTTTGGGGAGAGCTACTTCTCTCGATGAATTTGGTGTTAGCTCCTTAGGGTGTGATTCCTGGGGGCACTTTGGATGATTCAAGGAGCAAGCAAGGAAAGAGGACTCTTTTTTTTTTAGAGAGAGAATTTTTGAGTTGCTGATGTCACTGTGTGGGGGGTCAGAGGAGACTCAGGAGGACAAGGACCCTCCAATAGAAGTGACTCTGTGGAAGAGATCTAGGCGTGCTCTGGGCATTTGCAGACACTGAAGGTGGCCTGGGGTAGGGGTGTGTATCCCTGGGATGAGGACGGTGCACAGTGGTCAATACCCTGCACTCTAGCCCATGTCCTCTCCCTCGGAGGACAGCAGCTGGCAGCTTCGCATCTCTCTACCCTCAGAAGCTGCAAGGAAGCATCCTACAGGGGTCTGAGAGCCCTGGGCGGGGGTGAGGTGGTGGGGGGAGCTTACACACACTCCAGGTGCTGAGACCTGAGTGCGCTGCTCTTCCCAGGGTGCCAGAGAACCCAGCAGGGATTCACTGCACTGGTTCCTCAGTGTCAAGGCCTGCCTCTGTCCTGGCTAGCACAGCATCTGTGTGCTCTCTACCTCGGTCAAGGGGTTTGAAAGCTGGTCCCCTTCCTTGTGCACCTGTTTCCCCATCAGCACAAGGAAAGGACCTCCAGGGCTCCTTCTGTTCTGGGATATGAGATTCTGCACATGAAAGCAGGCCCTACAGGGATGTCCACAGGCTGGTAACTGATGAGTCTCCAATTTCTAGACTGTTTGTGCATTTTTCTTTTCTTTTCTTTTTTTTTTTTTACCCTTACCAGGGTTTTTACAGACTCTGAGACTACCAGAATTATCTAGGCATCTGCAGATGCCTTTGTGCTTGCCAGAGAGGTGCCTCCAGTCACCACGCCACCCTCCACGCATCCCAGCCCCTGGCTTCCATCCTGCTGACGCACGGGGCCAGAGGCTTCCCCTGCATCTGAAAACTACCCTGCGATGGCACGTGGCCTCTCGGAAACACACAGCTCTTCTCTCTCTCTCTCTCTCTCTCTCTCTCTCTCTCTCTCTCTCTCTCTCTCTCTCTCTCTCCAGCTCTCTAGTCCCGCAGCCATACCAGCACGACTGGTTTCAAACAGGGGCTATGGATACAACCTGAGGGCCGGCCAGCTCCGGAATGTCTGAGAGATTCGTGAGTCCGTGGGTGATGTTGACCAAAGGCTGAAGAGAGACACATCAGACCATGAGAACGAGGCTGGGGTGTGTGCAACCCAGCAGCGAAGCTTGAACCGTCATCCTCCCGCATGGCAGCATCATCTGGGCAGACTGAACCAGCCACACTCCTCTCCCGCCCTCTCACTTAACAGCCCTGCGCTGCCTGGCTGCCTTCCTCTAGAAAAGCCTTCTCCAAGCTACGCGGTGAAGGGAGTGGGGGTGAGAGTGGGTGAGCGAGCCAGCCAGAGAGGGAGAGAGAGTGCGCTGAGCACGGAGTCCCCGTGTGGATTCATTCATGCGCTTGTTCTCTGTCAGGGGCATTGGGTTGTGTGTATCAAGCTTCCATTTTCTTTTCTTTTGTGTTTTTTTGGGACCACACCTGGTGATGCTCAGGGCTGACTCCTGGCTCTGCGCGCAGGGATCACTCCTGGCAGTGCTTGGGGAACCATACAGGATGCTGGGGATTGAACTCAGGTCAGTGGGGAGCAAAGCAAGCACCCTTCCAGCTGGACTATTGCTCCACCCTGGCCCATTTCCTTTCTTCCATAGCCACCCAGCACAAAGATCATTCCTGAGTGCCTGCCAGCTATGGGTACATGCGTGTCCCATCTGAAGACTCCAGAACAGCCACCTACGGGTCAGACCGGCGAACTCGGCCAGAAGCAGGGGAGGTCCTTCTTAGCTCACTGGGCACTTTTTAAATGGGACATTTAATTTTCCCTGCTCATCCTCCATGCAGCCCTTTAAGACCTTTCATCGGACTTCTACTGTACACATCACTTTACTCAGACTTCCATCACTGTCCACAAAAGTGATGTCCTCAGGTGGGTTTCTACCTGTCTCCACCCTCCCCCAGGCCTGTCAGCTCTTCATGCCTCGACATAGCCATGTTCTTCTAGTCTGTGTTTGGTTTACCGCCTAAATTCAAGAGTCCCCTGTCCTCGACGCCTACCTTGTAAAATCTTTCTCACCTTCTCAGCAGATAAAGTCCTTACTTGGGGGAAATCTCCTCTAGAAAGTCTGCCTGGATTTCTCTCATCCCAAACTGACTTTTCTCCCAGGTTCTTCTAATTACATTCTTTACCTGTGACAGCCTGACTTCACAGGGGTGGGGGTGGGGCTGGGGGAGAAGATGAGACTGGGTCCTGCAGTGTATGTCCTGGCGCTTCTGAACACAGAATCAATAGAGAGTGACAGCCACCAGGAAGACAATGCGGTCCTAGGTGCTGGGAGTACAATGGCCCTATAGAGCACCTCAGGAGGAGTCACATTAATTCTCTCCTGCCTATAGCCAGCACAGCATGGTGATCGAGGCATGGTGGACCCAGGCTGCAGGATCTGCTGATGAGGGCAAAAATCCCACCTCGCCAACCTTCCCTGAAGAGGAGGCTCAGAGAAAGGGGTTTCCTCACTGCCACCCCCTGCTAGAGATTTCCTTTAGCTAAGGAATGCATCTGCTGGGAGCCTGGGCTTCTCTCTACTGCTTGCTTCCCTCCTGGAAGGGACTGGCAACCGTCTGAGAGTCGGTTTGGGAACCCACAGTCATGATTGGTGCAGGGCCCCCTCTCCTTCCCTAGGGTGGGCTTCCTCTAGGGAGCACCCCAGCAAACAGGAGGCGCATCTGGGGGTCTGCTACCTCAAGAGCTGGGTTCTGCTTTGGGGTCTGTCTTCCAATTGGCCTTGGAGAAAAATCAAGCCTATATTCTTTCAGAAATTATTCTACTTTTTAGTACTGGAAAGTAACACCAGAAGTATCTAGTCCCCAATTCAGTGCACAGGGCCCTGGGTCTTAGTGTGTATGTGCGTGCGTGCGTGCGTGCGTGCGTGTGTGTGTGTGTGTGTGTGTGTGGTTTCTGTGTTAGGGCCACATGCAGCAAGGCTCAGGGCTGACTCCTGGCTCTGCGCTCAGGGATCGCTCCTGGCAGGGCTCAGTGGACTGCGGGGGATTGAACCTGGGTTGGCTGCGTGCGAGGCCAGCACCCTCCCCGCTGTGTTCTCTCAGGCCCCTAGGCCTGCAGAGGAAGCTGCCACCACCATGGGGGCCTTTCCCCAGACACCAGACCCCTCATGTGCTCGGGCTGCTCTGTGGCATTCCACCCCCAATGCTGCCAGTCAGCAGAGAGCACCAGCAGGACCATGGAGAGAGCAGAGGCAGCAGGCGGAGGGGGGGGGGGGGGGGCGGGGAGGGGAGGGGGCAGTGGAAAAGGCCAAGGCCAGGGGCCAGCCCAGGCCTCCGCAGCACCCGCAGCCCCGAGGCCCCTGTACTGGAGCCGCCCTCTTCTCCCCTGCCCTGCAGTGCTCACCATAGGTACAATCTCGATGCGTCCAGGCAGTCCCCGGGGTCCTGGGGGCCCCATGGTGCCGGTGCCGTCCTTCCCTCGGTCACCCTGAGGCAGGCAGAGAAAGCAGAAAGACTCTTGTTCCCGGACGGTGCTCATGGGCCAGGCTAGGGTGTCCAGCCCCCAACCCCCATGCCCTGCCCCCCCCCCCAAGATCTGAGCCTCACCTTGGGTCCACGGTCTCCCTTCTCTCCTTTGAGACTCTGGCAAGGCAAACGCAAAGGGTCTTGTTACCTTCCGTTCTCTTGGCTCACTCTCCCGCCGGCCTCCCCTCTGCCACTTTTGTGTCTGTGGGGGCCGTGGGCACAGGGGCAGAACCCGGGATCTCACACACGCAGGGCACATGGTCGACCCCTCAAGCCCCAGAGCAGAATCAAAGGGTGAGGGGCAAACATGCCTCCCAGGGCCAGAAGCAGCCCGCAGAGAGCTGGGCACTGAAGCCATCTCTCTGTGAGTATCTGTGTCCTTGGACCCTAATCCCAGAGACCCCGCATCCACCTAGGCCTGGGTGATGGCTGTGCTGCTGACTGCCAAGCTGCACAGCACAGATGGGGGGAGGGACTTAAGGGTGTCTGGGGGGGGGCACCAAAGCAAGAGTGGACCACAGGGGTAGGGGGCAATCTAGTATGCAGGTGGAAGGGACTCGTCCAGAGAGGGGCGCTCTGCAACACGACCAGGCGTGAGTTAGAATCAAACTCTGGCTCTTCATACAAGAGTTAGATTGTAAGGGGAGAGATGGGGGGGGGGGAGGGAGAGAGGATGATCAGAGACAGGGAGAGAGGGGGCAGAGAGGGAGAGAAAGAGGCAGAGAGGGAACAGAGAGAGGGAAAGAGAGAGAGAAAGAGGGAGAGAGGAAGAGAGGGGCAGAGGGACAGAAGGGGCAGAGAAAGAAAGAGGGGGAAAGAGAGAGAGAAAGAGAGGTAAAGAGAGGGAGAGAAGGGGAGAAAGAGGGGAAGAGAGGGAGACAGAGAGAGGCAAAGAGAGAGAGGAAGAGGGAAGAGGGAAGAGGGAAGAGGGAGAGAGAGAGGAAGAGAGGGAAAGAGAGGGAAAGAGAAGAAGAAAGAGGGAGAGAAGGGGAGAAAGAAGGGAAGAGAGGAAGAGACGGGGATAGAGGGAAATAGATGACGAAGAGAAAGAGGAAGAAGGAGGAACGGAAGAGACAGAGAGAGAAGAAAGAGGGAGAGAGGAGACAGTTTTCCACACAATGTGTTCAAAACGATCGTGCCTCTCCTGAAAAAAAAAAAAAAACGGCTCTTCGGGGGCTGGAGTGATAGCACAGCAGGTAGGGCATTTGCCTTGCACGCAGCCGACATGGGTTTGATTCCCAGCAACCCGTATGGTCCCCCGAGCACCACCAGGAAGAATTCCTGAGTGCATGAGCCAGGAGTAAGCCTTGACCATCACCGGATGTGACCCAAAAAGCAAAACAAAAAACAAAACAAAAAAAAAAAAACGAGCTCTTCAAGGGAGGCCCCAGATCAGCCCACCTCTAGTCAGAGGGTCAGAGCAGAGTGAGGGGCAGTAACTAGGGGGTGGGACACAAGGCTCCCCACCTCCGACCTCTCCCTCAGACCCGCAGCCTCCCCTGAATGCCCAGACGTCAGCCTACACTCGCAGCCGTGGGTCCGCAGAGTCTGGGTTCACCCTGTAGCTCGAGGTTTCCAGAACCTTCTATATCCTAGGGAAGAAAGAAGAAGGAGTGTTTGGGGGAATGCCCGAGCCTCTGCGGGAGTCAGGGCTGGAAGTGAGGCTCAGTGGGCATGACATCACCCAGGTGGGGTTCGCTCCACTGGTCCTTCGTAGCCCTCTAGCCAGCGAAAGGGGGACTGTACCTCAAATTCAAGTCCCACGGTGCATCCGGGGCCCGGAGGGCCAGGTGGCCCTGGGGGGCCCGTGACCCCAGGAGTGCCCACTTCTCCATCCTTCCCGGGGAGCCCTGGTAAGCCTCTGCTGCCGGGGTCACCCTGGAAAGAAGAGGACGGACGGCTGAGCCTCCCTGCCCCAACGCACGGGGTCAGAAATGGCTCTCAGCATAAATTAGAACAGGCCGGACTGGGAGCCTCGCTCCCTTCCTGGGGGTGTCCCCTGCCCTCCTCAGACCCACCCCCCAGAAGGAAGGAGGGGAAAGCTCACTCCCTGGTTTTTACCTTTTCTCCCACGGAGCCGTCAGGCCCTCTTGCTCCCTGGGGAGGGGAAAGGTGGGTTAGTGAGCCTGGCAGAGATTCGGGGTCCAGGACCAGAGTCTGGAAGGGACCTTCATCCAGCTCCCATGCCTGCACGGATGCCCCCCCCCCCCACCCCCCCGGCAGGTCCTAGGAATCATGCTGAAGGCCTGTGACCACCGGGGTCAGCCATCTGCTCAGCACTGACCTCCCCCGGAGCAAAGGAAGTTAAAGGCAACCAGAGACAGATGCTGCGAAGGCCAGTGTTGCTGCCAGGTCACCCCCCCCCCCCCCACTGAGGGCAGTTAGGGGCACAGCGACTCCCCAACCCCCCCACCCACCCCAGTACTCAGACCCAAGGGAGAGGCTTTGAGAACTCGACCCAACTCCCAGGTCAGTGTGGAAGATGCCAGGTTCTCTTGATAAACAGCAAAAGAGAAAAGAAGGCTGAGTGAGGCCTGAACTGGAGTGTGGAGGGGCCCACACAAGTAGACTGCATGTCCACCCTGGGGGGGGGCCCGGGGCTCCGGGGGAGCAGATGGAACTCCTACAGTAAGGCCCCTGCTGTGAGTTCCGGGCAGGTGGGGACAAGCACGGGGCTGCTGGTTGGCCGCCGGCAAGGCGGCTGAAATTCTGGACAAACTGGGCAGGGGTGAGGCACATGCCTGCCTGGCATGTGGCTGGCCGGAGTCCCGTGCCTGGCACCACTTGGTCTCCTAAGCATCTCTGGGTACAGTCCTGAAGGCCTTTGAGTACTGCCGGGCAGGCTGGGGTAACCCCCAACAGTGCCTCCCTGGACACTCAGCCTGGTGGGCTGTCAGCCTGGTGGGCTGAGAACTGCTGGGAGGAGCCCCCAGTTCTCTTAAGGCACCTCCTCCCTCTAGTTTTTTTTTTTTTTTTGACTAGGAGAACCTGAAGCCCTACCCATCTGCCTCCTCTTGCTGACACTCACAAGGACAGTCAGAGGTGTCTGGTCGTACAACGGGCAGCACCCAGCCCCGGGGAGCTGGGGAACCCTGCAGGGTTGAGAGCACCCCACATGCACATGATGCTCCCCTGATGCTTTTCCTCCCATTCCCTTCCCGAAGCATGCTGGTGTCTCCAGCAGCCGCTGCCCACCCCCACATCTGCACAAATGCAGAGACCAAAACTCCAGAGAGGGTGCAGTCTTGGAAGCACAGTAGAGACAGCAGCAGCCGAGGCATGGCACCGAGGAGAAGAAGACGGGGCAGTGGCGGCTATGGGTGCCTCACGAGGGGAGAGAGGGCATGGTCGGCCAGGGGTTCTTGGCAGCTGACCTAGACTCTCGGGTCCCAAACAGAGGCTACTACCGGCAAAGAGTAAGAGCAAAAGTAAGGTCTGGTGAAAGGGAAACGGTGATGGAAAGGAACCAGAGCTAGGGAATGAAACCATGGAACGGTGGGCGGAAGAACCCTAGAGAAAACTCTAATCGACACACAAGGAAGAGAATTCTATGGGAACCAGCTCGGCGTTTTCCAGAGAGTCATCTGAGGATGCAGGCCTGAGAAGAATGACGAAACAGAGGCACAAAGGATCAGGAGTTCCAACATCTGGGTGTGGGGAGTGGCGGAAGGGGAAAAGGAATAGAGACAGAACAGTTTTGAAGAAATGAGAGTGGAACATTTCTGAAAACTCAGTCTCTCAAATAGCTCTCTCTTCTCCCTACCTATAAAAAAAAAGGAGTCCCACACATGCTCTGCAAACTGTATTAGTGGGACAGAACCCAGGCCTACAGGCGAAGCATGAACATGAGCCCTTGAAGCTATCTATCCATATCCAATTTTTTTTTAAAAGGGACAGTCTTGAAAAGCAAGTGAAAATCTGTTTAGGATTTATCACATTTGAATACTCAGTCATGCTATTTTTAATAAACTATATAATTATGTGAATTAACCATAAATATTGCAGTTTAGGGCCACCACATAGTATAAGTTGCTATTAAGTAAAAATAAAATCAAATGCATCTGAGTGCACTCACACACACACACACACACACACACACACACACTTTAAAAATGGGCCCTTAAGAGACAGAGAAGGGTGATTTGGGAAAGGATCAACATCCATTTATGATAAAGGAGAATTTCAAAACAACAACAACAAAAAAAGAAATTCTGAAATCTTTCAAAGAGACGAGCTAGGTGGCCTTCAAAGACACAAAGCTCAGCGCTCTCCGACTTACATGGGCAGCCTGGGTTTCTGGCAGAGATCACCTTCAAACGCCCGGGACAAGGGCCTTGATCTAGCTTCTAAACAAATCTACTGACCCAGATTCTTTAAGCAACCAGGAGAGTAAAGCAAAGACATTGTTTAAGTATTCAAGGCCTTGGAAAGATTGATATCCTCAGACCCCCTGATACTGGCGAATATATGATTAAAGAACACATCCCAAGGAAAAAAGCAAGAGGACACGTGGTGCAATGAAAAATGTGCTCATGTGTGACCTTTATCTTTCAAAACGAATGTAAAACACCCAAGAGGAATGGTCTGTTCTTCCTCCCAGCAGCCTGGAGTCCCTCCCAAATTCCAGTGTGCTGCCAGGACACGGTTAGGAAACCAGTGGGCTGAGCGATTCTGCAGATTCCTTTGTCGCTCTGGCCCTTTGGGACTCCGGTCAAGGATGAGCCTGAATCAAGTTCTTGGGGCTGATGAATGCAAGAATAACACGTGCAATTCAGATTGTGAAGGGGAAACCAGGACAGCAGTTAACTCCACATGTGAGCTGAAGAACGGATGGTGGATCTGCGGTACTAAGAACAAGAAGGAGGGTGTGAGAGAGATAGCACAAATGCTTGGCATGTGGGAGCCCTGGGTTGAGCCCCAGCACTGCATGGTTCTCTGAGCACCAGATCAGGAGCTGCCCCCTCAAAGCAGCACCAGGAGTGTCCTCAGGAGAACAAGAAAATACAACAAAAAAACAGAAAAAAGTTTTTGGGTTTTTTTTTTTTTTTTTTGGAGGCTGGTCTCCAGCAAACCCTTAACACCCTTTCCGGAAGCTTCTAAATAGCTGGAAAAGCAAGCTAGTTCTTTGCCTAGTCCTTCATAGTCCACAAAGACCTCAGAGTTAACTACTCATCATACGTTGGGGAACATGAATCAAGAATACTTCTAGGGGCTGGAGCAATAGCACAGCAGGTAGGGTGTTTACCTTGCATGTGGCCAACCTGGGTTCAATTCCCAGCCTCCCATATGGTCCCCTGAGCACTGCCATTAGTAATTCCTGAGTGAAAAGCCAGAAGTAACTCCTAAGCATCACCAGGTGTGACCCCCCCAAAAATAAATACTTCTATCAAATGAAGTATAGAATTAATAAGTTTGGTATTTTATTGCTGCTGTCAGTGCCAGGTTTGGAACACAGGGTCTCACATATGCAATGTCCAATTTTATGTATCTTTGGTTGTTGTTGCCTTTTTTTTTTTAGCCTGGTGGTGCTCAGGACTTACTCCTGGCTTTGAGCTCAGGGATCACTCCTGGTGGGCTTGGGGGATCATATGGGATGCTAGCAATTGAACCTGGGTCAGCAGGATGCAAAGCAAACGCCCTACCCACTGTACTATAGTTCTGACCATTTTTTTTTTTGGCAGGGGTGGCGTGGGGTGCGGTATGCCCTTCATTGCTTGGGAGACTCTCTTGGCACAGTTGAGTAGACCATGAAGAGCTGGGGATCATTAAACCTCAGGATTCTGCATGCAAAGCCTTTTTGCACCAACTCCTCACCCCACCCCACTCCAATTCCTCCCCCCGCCCCACCCACCCTGCCGCTAACAAATTCTCAAAGATCATTTACATTTTGAGGACAATCTCACAAATGACTAATATTTTTCCCAACTAGATGAACCGGACCAGATCCTCTTTCGGGGGGTGGGGGGAAGTCCCCACTTTAGCTGAGAGGGATCTCCGTGCCCTGTAGTGAGGAGAGAGACTGATTGTCACAGCAGGAGGGAAGATCCTTCTCAACAGCCAGCCAGCCATGGAGGGCAATGCCCAGGCAGGACTTGTGTCACTGAGAGATGTAAGCTGGACAACGGTGGTAGTCAGGGATGCCAGGATCACATCTATCCGTGGCTGCTCTGAAGTGCCACAGCCTGATTCTGGGGCGTCTCTTCAGCATGCTATCCCTGGTTTATGTGAGTCCATGCTCCTTTACTGATTTGGTTTTGTTTTTAAGTAAATGTCACGGGTAAGTTTTTTTTTTTTTCTTCAGCTCTCCCCAAACAAATTTCCAAGTCTTTCAAGAGCCTCTCCTTTCATTTGACCACAAAGCACCCTAAGCACACAGTGCCACAACTTGAATTCTCAGCCAGTTTTCTGAGGGGAAGGGTGTGATTTCTCTGTCCCCATTCCCCCGGGCCAGCCTGCTGCTCCCGAACGGCTGATCCCCGGGCAGCTAGCTGCACAGTGCGCCTGCGTGCGCGTTTGTGTGCAGAGGTGGGTGTGAGTATTTTTAGGTGCCAGACGGGTGGGTGTGTGCGGGGCGGGGGGGGGGGGGGGAGGAGACATGGGGGCGCTCAGGCAAAGCTGGTAAAAAGAACAGGAAGACAAGGACAAGTCTGTGACGCTTCCTGCAAAATATAATTTCTTAGGAAAGAGTCAGGCGTGTCAGAGGAGCACAGGAAAGCCCGGCAAGGGCTTCTCCTTCTGAGAAACGAGCTTTGCACAGATGCGAGGGACTGTTCCAATGATAATGAGCACACCCGAGAACTCCAGAAACGGGAAATTCAGCTCAGAGGACAGTGGTGGGGCTTAGGACATCGGCACTTCCCCTGACTTCCCCCAGCTTGGATGCTCCTGTCTCGGGGGGAAAAGACCCTCCCACCTCCAAGCCCCATCCAACGCCTGCCTACACCCTGGCCCCAGAAGGAGGTTTGCCTTTCCCAAGTGCCCCACCCTGCTGAGGACCTGGCCATTCTCTCCTCCCAGTTGAGAGCCTGGAAAGGCATAGGGTGTGTGTTGGGGGGGGGGGGGGGAGGACCCTCACTTCTGCATGGGTGGCCAGCAGGACCCTGATGTCTGTGAGGTGCAGAGCCAGAGAAATGCTCTTGCTTTGACAATGTGGGGTGGTTTATTTTTGTTTGTTTGGGGGCCACACCTGGCGGTGCTCAAGACTTAACCCCTGGCTGGCTCTGCACTCAGGGATCAATCCTGGAGGTGCTCAGGGGACCAAACGGGGTGCTGGTAGGGATCAAGCCCAGGTCAGCCGGGTGCAAGGCAAATGCATTGCCCCCTGTGCTATGGCTCCGGCCCCAGCGGCATGGGGTGAGATGGGGTGGGGAGCACAGACGAAGAGAGCTAAGGGGTCTCAGTGTCCTTGATGAAGTGGGAGGGGGGTGCTCAGGAGAATAAATGCTGTGGTGCTGATGGAAGTGGAAGAAGGAGGGGACCTCCTGCCGCTCCTCAATATCAGGAGGAGCACCTGGGTCAGAGCACTGAGGGGAGAAATGGGAACAGACATCCGAGACAAAAAGCAGGTGCAAAGGCCAGGGGACAGGGAGGAAGGGCACATCCAGAACATTCCCAGGAGGCCTCAGAAGGGTGTGCTGGGAGATGGGGCTGGGGTGGGGGTGGGAGTGTAGCCTGAGGGTGTTACATGACTAGGGGCAAGACTGAGGCTGGGGTGGGGACTGGAGGGTGGGCATTAGAGATGCCAGGATAGTGAAGGAAGAGTGCAGGCCAGCAGGAGGGGAAGGAACGTTCTCCCCCCTTTCCTCTTCGGTGGGAAGCCTACCACTGGGGCAGGGGTAGTGGGGGATAAGTTAGGGAAGGGAATAATCGCAGACGGGAAATGTGCCTGCCATAGAGGCAGGCTCGAGGCAGGAGGGAAACTGGGAACACTGGTGGAGGGGTTGGTGTTGGAATATTAGATGCCTGAAACTCAATCATGAATATCTTTGTAACTTTATAGTTCACTCAAAATTAATAAGAAAGAAAGAAAGAAAGAAAGAAAGAAAGAAAGAAAGAAAGAAAGGTGGCAGACAGACACTGAGCCGGGCCTGGGCACCGGAGCCCCCTAGTGGACACAGCCAGCAGAGAGGTCTGGGGCTTGAGGAGAGCTAGCCTCAAAGAAACAATGTCCAGAGGAGTGGCCCGGAGGCCAGGACCCTTCCACCCCGCTCCTACCTTCTCCCCTTTCATGCCAAGAAGGCCGGCTTCTCCATCAGGTCCAGGCTGTCCCTTGGGGCCCTGGGGAGCATAAAGTGACCATCAGCCCTGACATCCCCGACCCTAACCACACACAACACCCTCACCCCCTTGTGGAAGAGGAGGTGCAGACCCAGAGGAGCCTGTGGCTGAGGCTGGAGGGGCCAGGGCAGAGGGTCAGCCCCAGCTGCAGCCTGGCCAGCATGGCTGGCACGTGTGCCGAGGGCCCTCTGCGCGCAGGGATCCCCTCTCTGCGCTGGGGAGTGGTTCGGGAGAAGGCTGGCTGATGGGCCCCTGGGGGCCTCTGGACGCTCTTGTTGAGCAGAAAGAGGTCGCAAGTGCAGGGCTGAATAGTACCCTGGACTCGGACGAGAGCTTCTGCTTATAGAAGGGGACGATTTGTTCTCAGGGGCGCCTCGGTTCTGGGGTTTATGCTCTGCCCCCCCCCCCACTAGAACCATGACAAGGAGCCAAGACCTCACCGGGGGCCCTGGCTCGCCGTCAGCACCATCCTCCCCAGGAGATCCTGGCGGTCCCATGAAAACATCAGCTCCGGGTTTTCCTGGTATTCCAGGTGGGCCAGGTGGGCCAGGGGGGCCTGGAGGACCCTAAAAAAAAAGACAGTTATTCTGCTCAGAACCAGCAGAGCGGGGGATGGATGTACACTGAGCTCATGCCCGCCATTTCTACAACAGCTGGGGAGCAGACAGTGAACACCCACCACACAGGGAAAGGGACTCGCTACACGCACACACACACACACACACACACACACACACAACACACGCACACAGCTCACTGGTCGAAGGGCAGGGTTTTGCACCCTGGTCTTCCTGAGTCCCTTCTATCAGGTTTTTCTCCAAAATGTTTGTTACACACAAACCCCCAAGTGCATCAGAATTTAGATGTGTTTGGCTTGCTTAGTTTTTAGATTAACGAGATATCTCTCAGATCACCTGCTACTTTAACACTTTCTTCTGGGGTTTGTGGGTCCCACCTGGTGGTGCCCAAGCATCATTGGGAGTGACCTTCTTCCAAAAACATGACCAAAGTGGAAAATGCGGATACAAAAACTGAGAGAAAAGTCCAACTGAACCCCTGAGCTCACCCACCGTCAGCCGCCACGACTGCAACATCTCAGAGGCCTGGTTGGGTTTGGTTCTGGTCCCGGCTCTGTACCGACCCGCCCTCCAGGCCCAGTGCGGAGACAGTCCCGGACACCACTCACCCGAAGCAGGTCCTCGCTGCCCACCAGGTCGCCAGAGCCAGAGCCCAGGCCAGAGCTCCAGGCCAGGCCAGAGCCCTCCACCTCCGTGCCCATCTGGAAAGAGAAGAATTCCCACAACTTGGCTTCAACTTTCCAGCCAGATCCAGATCACCCCACCTCTCCCCACCTTCTCCCAACCTTCCTTCCAGCCTTCTGACCCCGTCTCTTTTCAGTGCCCTGTGAAAAGGGACCCTGTCCCATGAAGATGAACTCTGTCCCGTGAGGAGGGACCCTGTCTGATGAGGAGGGACCCTGCCCCGTGAGAAGGGACCCTGCCCCGTGAGGAGGGACCCTGTCCTGTGAGGAGGGACCCTGCCCTGTGATGAGGGACCCTGTCCTGAGATGAGGGACCCTGTCCTCTGACGAGTGATTGCTCTGTCACAGTGTGACTGTCTCGTGACAAGTGAGGCCCGGGCACTCACCGTGGTTCCAGCAGTTCCAGTTGGTTCAGGGGACACAGAAAGCCACTCCTCAGGTATACCCTAAAGAGAACAAGAGGGTCAGTGGTGGCTGGACACTGCCTCCCTCTGACCCCTTTCCTGGTTGGCAACTGCTGCTCTTGGCTGGTCAGAAGAAAGTTCTGGTCTTCCAGGACAAAACGGAGCACCCCATCCCCTCTGAGGCTGTGGAACCCTGGCTCCCATTCACATGAGGGGACCGCCAGATGGACGGGGGACATGCACAGCTGAGTCATCCACAACTCCCTGGTCCAGGGCCTTCGGGTACCCTGATGTCCAAACCTAGTGGACTCAGCCTCTCCTCCTGGCCCTGCACGCCTGAGAAATTGATTATTCGGGGGCCACTGCCTCCTGTGGCAGTAGTTGATAGTAGTTTGACTCAGTTTACCCCCCCCAAGGGTTGGAAAGTTAAACCACCTGAACGTTTTTCTTTGATGGACACTACTGGGATAAACATCCTTATACACAAAACCATTGCACACATCAGGCTTTCTCCTTGAGGACTGGTTTCTAGAACAGCAGTTTCTAGTCAACAATGTGCAGTTGTTTAGTCATGAACATGGGTCAACAAAGAACTCTCCAGAAGGAGCAAACCCATCATGGTCACTGAGCACCAACTTCTGCTGCAGAAAAGACAAAGGCTCTAAGGACAGTTGGCCACAGTTGTCACACACCAAAACCAAACAAGATAAGAAAACAGAGACAATCATAGGCTAATAGAGATATAAGAGACACATCCACAAGTGTGACGTGGAGACCTTGTTTAGATCCAAATTCAAACCAACAACTTAGAAAGGGCCCTTTCTTAACTATGAGGGTACTGAGGAATATTACAAAGGGGACATTATTAGTTTTGTGAGACGCATAGGGACCCTGACTAAGAAAAATCAAAGGTCCTAGATCAACCTATTTGCAATACAGATGGAAGAGTTTACAGGTTAAATAATGTCTGGGATTTGTCTGAATATATTCCTGGGCCTTGAGAGGTGGTATTGCAGGTAAGGTGCTTGCCCTGCAGCTATTTTCAAGTAAATACACGCATATGTGCAAATCTCCTTTCTGAATAGATGCCCAAGGACCAGGGGAGCAGCTCAGGTGATGGGTCACATGCCTTTACCGTTATCAGGTCCCATCCCTGATAACTGCAGGGGCACCTGGCACAGCCAGGCGTGGCCCCCACAATAATCAAAAACATTAAGACTAAAAATATTCACAATAATTAAAGCTGGTGAGAGCAGGTGTGTCAGACAAACCATCTTTAGCACAGCAACTCAATGTGACGAATAGGTAAGGGGGTTATTATTCTAAGTCCTTTTGTTTATTATTATTAATTATTATTGTTATTGGGCTGGAGCAATCGCACAGCGGGTAGGGCATTTGCCTTGCATGGCTGACCCAGGTTATATTCCTCCATCTCTCTTGGAGAGCCCAGTAAGCTACCGAGAGTATCTCGCTCACACGGCAAAGCCTGGCAAGCTCCCTGTGACGTATTCGATATGCGAAAAAAAACAAAAACAACAAGTCTCACAATGGAGACATTACTGGTGCCCGCTCGAGCAAATCGATGAACAATGGGAGGACAGTGCTGCAGTGCATTATTATTATTGTTATTATTTACTTCCAAAGTTTAAAAACATTATAGCAAAAGGAGAAATGGCTCAAGGTAGAAGTGATGGCCAAGAGGCACTGCTTGGAGCCACCTGGGGTAACTGTGAAGAGATATGGAGGGGGTCTGCAGAAGGCTGTTTAGGTGTTTACCACATGTGGATGGTGTACAGGCAGCACCTCTAGCTCACTTGGTGGCTTCCACACCCACAGCCCTGCAGGGTCTCCTGAAAGCTGGGCTGGGCACCAGGGCATCTCTGGCTCTCAGGAGGGAGCTCAGCGTGGCTTCAGCTCTGCAGCCAGCATCGGCCTGGAGCTCCCTCTCACCCCACTTCTTTCACAGACACAAATGCACTGAGCATCGGGGCTCTCCTGGAGGGCCTTTTGGATCCTGGTTTGGGCCCTTCTGAGAAGCTTGAAGACATGAGATCTGCAGTCCAGCTCTGCCTCACTGATGCATGTCATGGTTCCAGCATCTGCCCCCTCCTGGTCTCCCTCTCCCCGACCCCCAAGAGAGTGGAGGTGTGAGTATGAGCAGGTGCTGAACCACTGTCCGTGAGTAGGGTGCTTCCTTGCTCGGTTGGGAACAAGACCCTGCTTCTCTCCAGCCCCGAGGTTGGGACCAAATGGATGGACAGCACTAAATCCAGATGCAGAGAGCAGGCCTCTGGGAGAGCCTGAGCCATTAGCCTTCAGGGTCCCGAGGCCCCACTCTCCCCCTCTGCCTCGGAGTTCTGTGCCAAGCATGTGCTAGGACCAAAGCTCCGGGAGGGCATGTGGGTCTGGTGGCCTGCTTCTGTTCCAGGCAGCGACATCAGAAGAGCTATTCCCTGATGCCCACAAGCCCACGCCAAGGGCCAGCATTGGGCCTCCTATTTCTAAGATGGAATTCCAGTGCCAAGGGGTGAATCTCCACGCAGAGACAGAGCTCGCAAACGCTCCCTCGATGGACCTCACAAGTAAACAGAGGCCCAAAGCAGGCAAAAAGTTCGCTTGAGCACAGAGCTGCCATGCAGAATTCCAGAAACTTGTGCTTGAGGGAACTGCAGACCCTCCCCTCACAACACACATGCGCACACACACACATGCACACTGTCTCTTTATTTTATTTCAATTTGAAGGCCACTCCCAGGGATGTTGGGGAGATCATACAGTGACTGGGATTGAACACAGGGCTCCCATAGGTAAGGCATGAGCTCCAGACCTGTAAGCCAGCTCCTTGGTTCAAGCAGGCACACGCGTGCACACACACCTGCATACTCACTCACACACCTGCACACATAAGCACACAACTGCACACACATGTGCACATACTCGCATGCACACACCTGCATACACATGCACATACATACATGCATACACATGCACACACATGTGCACACACATATATTTCTGCTTATACATCTGCACATACATAAATACCCGTGTACACAAGCACACACATGTGCACACACATGCATACACACACACACACACAGACACACACCATGAATGCATCTGCACACACTCCACAACGGGAGCCTCAATGACAGTCTCTGCTTCTCAGGTGGAAATCCTTACTCAAATGGGGGTCCCCAAATTTAGATTTTCCCCCTCCTGCTCTTTCCCTATAGACTGCAGCTTGTGTGTTCCAGGTTGGAGGACCCTCAAATGCTCAGGCTCAGTCCTCCTGAAAACCAAAGTGGACCCTCCCTCGCCTTGGGGTCTCTGGGCTGCTTACCTGGGTGACCACCCCCTCAGGTGCCACGGTGGGTATGGCGAGCGGAGTCCCCTCCGGGGGTGCCAGGCCCAGCTCCCCTGCCCTCGTTGGGGAGAGGAGCGACTCTGTGGGGGCTGCTGCTGAGTCTTCATCACCACCAGGATGCTGAAAGCAAAACCAACAGACGACTCCGGTCAGTTTCTGTGCTGCACGCCCAGTGCCCCGTGCCCCACCTCCCTGACCCCCGTGATGTTGCTGCAGGAGACAAGGTGATGTCGTTCACCAGGCCCTGATCTCACCCAGGCGCTTCCCTGCAGGCATGCCGGCCCCATGTCCAAAGCAGCAGGGACGCCCACTGAGGCAGGATGCCCACCGCCCTTCTCCCTGCCACAACCCTTCCAACTCCCAACCACTCATGTTCCAGAAAGTTCTCCTTAGACGCAGCTGGGAACCAGGTAGCAGGGGAATAAAATCCCAGATGTGCCCATCCTTTGCCACCATGCTCCTTCCCTAGTACCCTGGCCCTCTCCAACGACCACTCCCCTAACTAGCACTGAGCGCGGCCAAGTCTGCTCTGAGCCCTGGGAGCCTATAGGGACACTTACAGCAGTGCCTGTGTGCTCAGGGGCCACTGTGGGTTCGAGGGGGGCCAAGCCCTCTGTGGGGACCCCACTGGCCTCCTCCACCTCCTCCTCCACGGTGCTGAGGGGCCCTTCCGGGGTAGTCACAGCTATGGTCACACTGGCTTCACTCGTTGGATCCTGAAATTCAAGTGGCATGAGGCTTGAGGGGAGGGAGGCAGTTGGTGGCCCACATGGCAGCACACACTCCTCGAAGCCCCGGTGAGGACGTGCCATCCACATGAGGCCCGTGCACACCTGAGGCCTCAGCAGCGTGGCCCTGATGAGCGCCCAGACTTAGCGTGTGCGTCTTCAGCGATGGAGCCCCCCCTAGTTCTGCAGCTCTGCAAGTGACACCCCCATCCCTGCTACACTGAGACAGGGTAGAACTGGATGGTGGGATGTGACCCAGTGACCCACGGCCTGCTCTGCAGGGCCGGGGTTGGGATTCCCAAAGCCAGAGTGTGATCCTGGGGTGCAACTGGGCACTGTGGCCACATGGGCGACTTCTAGACCTTGAGACACTGATCAGAGCAACAACAAAGGTGGGGTGGGTACAGTCTGTTCCCTGATTTTCTCACCCATGGGACAAAGATTCTGCCTTTGGCAAAGGAGGAGGAAAATGAAGAAGGCTGAAGGAGGAGTGAATGATGAGTGAGGAGAGAGAAGAGGGAGGCAGTCATGTGGATAAAAGAATCTGCGTGGGGGGCTGGAGAGATAGCACAGTGGGTAGGGCATTTGCCTTGCACGGGGCCAACCCGGGTTCGATTCCCAGCATCCCATATGGTCTCCTGAGCACCTCCAGGAGTAATTCCTAAGTGCAGAGTCAGGAGTAACCCCTGAGCATCACTGGGTGTGACCCAAAAAAGCCCCCCCCCCAAAAAATCTGCATGACTTAGAGTTACAAGCTACAGTTATAGCCCCTGGGCTGCTCTGGGAACCCAGGGAATTGTTAGTGCATAGCGGGGTGGTCCTATAGTGAGGCCAGATATACAAGTGTATCAAAAGTCATTTTTGTTGTGGGGGGTGTTGTTGGGGAGGTGGTTTAAGGCCATACCCAGCAGTGCTCAGGTCTTACTCCTGACTCTGTGCTCAGACATTACTCCTGGCTCTGTACTCAGGGATTACTCCTGCCAGCTCAGGGAACCATGTGGGACATCCAGGGTTGAACCTGGGTCGGCTGCATGCAAGGCAAGTGCCTTATCCCCTATACTAGCTCTCCAGCCCCATCCACTCAGCAAGTATATTGTGATTGCAGGAATGAAGCTTTGTCAGCAAAGAAGAGAGGTGCAGCCCCCTGTCTTCTGCCCCTGAGCCCATAAGGTGCCAGGAAGGAGAAGTGTTGGTCACTGCAGTGCTGGTCACTGCACTGACTGTGAGGCCTTCCGAGGAGATGGCAGGAAGGGGCCTGTCATTGCCGTCCCAGCTGAGAAGCAGGGGTGAGAGGAGGGGAGCAGCAGGGGAGGTTCTGGCAGAGGGGAGTGAGGAGAGAGGACTCTGCAGCAAGAGGGAAGGAGGAAGATTCCAGACACTGAAGGATGGTCAGTAAGGTGGGAGAGACAAGGGCTGGGAGCTGGTGGCCCAAGAGGTCTGGCTAGGCCATTTGAGTCAGGTGGGGGAGTGGGGTATGTGCACAGGGAGGGGAGGGGAGAGGGGGGTGCAGGAGGAGGGAGGTTCAGGGTCAGGGTGGGACGAGGCGTCTCCCTGCAGGGTAGGAGGAGGCTGGTTCTCATCATGGATAGGTGGGAAACTCAACAATTTGGTGGTGTGTGCAGGAAGGAAGGCAGAGGAAAGAGGACCCTAACCGGCCCAACTCACAGGGCTGGACATTTGAAGGACAGGAAGTGAGGTCAGGGGTGCGGGTGGGTATGAGGATGGCTGAGACCACGCAGGAACAGACGTTGGAGGCCCGTGAGACACCTGTGTCCTGCTTTGGAAGGGGGACCAGGCTCTCCACTTGGGCCCAGGGAGTTGGGCGGGACCCCTCAGTTGGCCCACTGCTCTGCTCTCTCGCTCCATTCCAGCTCTCTCCCTGAACACCCTCCCGGCTCCTATGGACATGCCCAGGGGAAGGAAGATGGACCCACTGTGGGACTCTCAGCCTCAGCTCCTTACCCGCAGGACTCCCTCCCCGGACTCCGGGGAGGACCCGCTGCCGGCCTCTGGCTCCCCGGATGCGCTGATGGGCACCTCGGCCTCTCCTGCTGACGCTGCGGAACCTTCCTCTGGGTCTGGGTCCTGAGCAGAGGATCCAGAGGGGCCGCGTCAGGGTTCAGCAGGAGGGGGACAGGCGGGAGCCGCTGGCCGGGAACCCCCCACCCTCACCAGCAGCCCCTGTCCCCAGGTCTCAGTGATGGCACTGGGACAAAAGTCAGGGCCTGAGGACCCAGGGCTCCAGGCTGCAGGTGTGAACCCACTCCGGGTCCGTGCTCGCTGGTACACCCCACACACCTCATCCTGTCCCTCCCCAGGACCCCCCAACAATCATGGGAGCAGATCCAAGGGATACTTTTAGCCTATGGCCCCTGGAGACAGGGCCTGGAACTGGGTGGAGAGGGGTCCACCCCCGAGTGAGCCCATCCCTGTTCTGACTTCGTTCATAGGCCAGCTTTTTCTGTTGCCCCCCCACTCAGAACTCAGGGTGGTCTTTCCTGCTGTACCCCAACTGCCCATCTGCACTGCTGCTCTCAGCCCCCACAGCCCCCGCCTTTATCTCTCCAGCCTCTGCTCTTGGAACACTGTCTCATATTCATGGACATCACTGAGTCTAGCTCTGCAGCCCTCGGGGGAGCACCCGGAGCCGCCCCCCCAGCTCCTCCTGGCACCTCTCACTTCACCGGCCCCAGGACCTGGGTGTGTGCTTCTTGACCTCCCCATGATTCTACCAGGTGAGGCCAGAGACACTGCATAAGGGAGCAGGAGAGTCAGAGCATGTGCAACTTACCGGAGTGGGCCCTTCCCCGGAGTGCTCAGCGGGCGCCTCGAGGGTCGGGGTCCCGGGGGTCATGCTGTTGGGCTCTGGTTCCCTGGCAGTGCTGCTGGGCACCTCCAGGGTGCCCTGGGCTGCCACGGTGCTTGGTAGAGCTCCCTCGCCAGTTGGGGCCTGGGGACGGAGGCTCCATGTCTGGGTGCCGCTCTCTGCACCCATGGGGGGCAGTGCAGAGTGTCAGCCCAGGTGCTCCAGCCCACTGGCGCACACAGGGCCACGCACTCCCTCCTGTGTCCCGCTACTGCAGCAGCTCCAGCTCTTCAATCCGCACAGGCTGCCCTCCCCCTCTCCCACCCCATGACCACCCTCACGCCCCTCTGATCTCCAGAACACCCCAACATCTTTGCCCCGAAAGGGCTTCAGAAGGTGGTTTGTTGTTGTTGTTGTTTGCTTTTTGGGTCTCACCCAGCAATACATAGGGGTTACTCCTGGTTCTACACTCAGGAATTACTCCTGGCGGTGCTCGGAGGAACATATGGGATGCTGGGGATCAAACCCGGATCAGCTGTGTGCAAGGCAAACACCCTACCCGCTGTGATATGGCTCTAGCCCCCCACTCCCTGAAGGTGTTTTAAATAAGGAACAGCGGCTGGAGTGATAGCACAGCAGGTAGGATGCTTGCCTTGCACGTGCCTAACCAGGTTTGATTCCCGGCATCCCATATGGTCCCCTGAGCACCATCAGGAGTGATCCCTGAGTGCAGAGCCAGAAGTAACCCCTGAGCATCACCAGGTGTGGTCCAAAACTCCCAAATAAATAAATGAATGAATAAATGAAAAGAAAGCCCCAGAAGAGGTCTGAGGACCATGGGGATGTTGGAGGTGTGTAACTCAGAGGTTTATTCGGCTTCAGTGCACAGGGATCACTCCGGGTGCGGACTCACTCAACCAGGTTGGCTGCAGACATGACATCTGTAAACGCTTTAACTCCAAGACGATCTCTCTAGCCCCAAACTTCCACAGAAAAGGTCCAGACCAGAATTTGGCCAGCTACATTAAAGAGGTGCCATTTTACCCAGGGGGCTGACTCTGCAGAGGTTAGAACTCACCTCTGTGGGTGGCTGTGGGGAGGAAGAGGAGGGAGGAGAAGGAGGGAAGCCAACAGCAAACTCTCCGCCTAGCTCTGCCTGGGCCCCGGCTGCTGACGGGCCTGGGACACCTGGTCTCTGTATTTCTGCTCATGCGATTCTGAGCTTGGCTTTTAAAGCCCCTGTGGAAGTCAACTGCCAGCAGAGAGGGACTGGGGAGGCCAGAAGTGCCCAAGATTTTGTCCCCAGCTAGGGGGACCAAGAGCTAATGTGGCAGGTTTCCATGGCGGCCTTGGGGAGAGACACATTTGCAATCAGATGGCACCCGGCAGTGTCCAGCACCTGAAAACTGCTTCTCCAGATGTCATGGCTCAGCACTGGCCTGGGCACCCCCATCCAGGCAGCTTTGGGAGTCTGAGTCGGGGCTCATGGTGCTTTCAGGGGCAGAGAGGAGGCAACCACATGCCCATGGCAGCTCAGACCCATGGCTCTCCACAGTGCCCAGCTCAAGTCACCACCAGGTCTGCCATAGCCTGTCAGACTGACTACTGACTCTCCAGCTGCACACAGCCCCTCACCTCTTTGGTGATGGGCAGGAAGGTCCCGTCTCCGGAGCCAGCCTCTGGAATGGGGGTCCCGTCCACAGCCTGGTCCTCCTCGGTTGTGTCATTCAGGATCTCGCCTGAGCCTATGGGAAGCATCAGACTGCAATGAGCAACTACAGTTTCGTGACCTTGTGAAACAGCATGGTTGTTGACTGCCCAGGAAAGATGTCCGTGCTTGAGGATTAGGAGGGGAAACAGGCGTCAAAAGGGAGAATTAGGGGCCCGAGAAATGGTACAGCAGATAAGGTGCAGCCGGTTCAGTTCCATCACCAATGGCATCACAAGTGGCTACCTGAGTCCTTCCAGGGGTGACCTCTGAGTGCAGAACAAGGAGAAACCCTAAGCACCAAGGAAAAGGAGGAGGAAGAGGAGGAGGAGGAGGAGGAGGAGGAGGATCAGGAGGAGGAGGGGAAGGGGGAAGGGGAAAGGGGAAGGGGGAAGGGAAGGGAAGGAAGAGGAGGAGGAGGAGGATGAGGATAAAGAGCAGAAGAAAAAAGCATAGGAAAAGGAAGAAAAGGAAAAGGAGGAGCAAGAGGAGGAGGAGAAAGAGCAGGAGGAGAAAGCATAGGAGAAGGAGGAAAAGGAAAGGGAGGAGGAGAAGGAGAAGGTAGAGGTGGAGAAACAGGAAAAGGAGGAGGAGGAGGAGGAGGAGGAAGAGGAGAAACAGAAGAAGCAGAAGAAGCAGTAGCAGCATTATTGTGACTCCGTCACTGGCTCTGGCACTAACAGCCAGGAGGGAGCCCTGCTTTGTCACTTGGAAGGTGACCTGTGACAGGCTGAGTACCTTCTGGCTCAGGGTCATCATCCATAACAGTGGAGAATTCTATCTCTAGGGTTTTCTTAAGGATTATGTGTTAAAAGTATCTGATAAACAAATACAGGAGAAGCATTGAAGACAGACCCTGGCCACCAATAAATATTTCGTCTCAGTGTGCATCTATAGTTGTAAGTAGGATATATGAGTAGATGCCCTTTGAAAACTACAGAGTATACGGGTGTGGCCCCCACCAAAAATAATGAACAAGGGCTGGTGTCATAGTACAGCAGGAGGGCACTCGTCTTGCACAGAGCCGACCCGGGTTCTATCCCTGGCACCCCATATGGTCTCCTGAGCACAGCCAGGAGTGATCCCTGAGTGCAGAGCCAGGAATGAGCCACGAGCACAGCTGGTTGTGACCAAAAAAAAAAAAGAACCGAAATAAAACTCAACAATTTCAGCACATAGGAATATACAGGTTCTACCATCGTTATAGGGCTGGAGCAATAGCACAGCGGTAGGGCTTTTGCCTTGCGCGCAGCTGGCCCGCCAACCCAGGTTGGCCTCTCTCGGAGAGCTCGGCAAGCTACTGAGAGTATCTCGCCCTCACTGCAAAGCCTGGAAAGCTCCCCATGACGTATTCGACATGCCAAACACAGTTACAACAAGTCTCACGATGGACACGTTACTGGGCCTGCTTGAGCAAATCGATGAACTATGGGAGGACAGTGCGACAGGGCTACCATCGTTATAAAGAAAGACACTACTGACATGCGTGATAATTAGTCCTTGGCACTGAGGTCACTGTGCTGTGTTTAACCACAGTATTAGCCATCAGCTTCCTCCAGAGGCTCCACAAGGGAATGACGGATCCCCCCCACACCTTTTTTGGTTCATGCACACTGCATTGCTTAAACAACTTCCATGAGCTCCATCCCTAGAGACTCTCCTACTCCCTCTTCCCCAACTGCGAAGGCCCCCACTGCCACCTCACAGCTGGCGGGAAGAGTCACACCAGGAATCCAAGCTTCCTCTATGCAGTTCCCCCTCAGTGCCTGCACCCTGCTCTGAACCTGCATCACACCTTTACTTCTAGCTTGGTTTTACAGAGGTGGAGGTCCCACGTCAGTGTCTTGGTAAGATGGAGGTCCTCATGCCATCGCCCTTTCACACACGCTGTGCTCACATGTGTGGCAGGAGAAAGACAGTGTGGGAAGGAGGGGCTCTCACCCAGAAAGGCTCTGGGTGGCCAGGAGTGGCCTTCGCCAGCACCTGGTGTTCCTGCATCCTCTCCAAAATCACCACTAGGGGGCGCCGTGCAGGCAGCTCTAGAGACCCCATGCCTGGACACTCCTTCCTGCTCTTGGAGGCTGGGGTCGGGGGAAGCTTGGAATAAAGCTATCAGCGGCTTTCCCAAGCAGGGGACAGGGCTGGGACTCTGGCTCAGCCTTTCTCCTCACCACCTGGGCTGCCACCTAGCAAGGAGAAAGGGAATACGTCAGGTCCTTCTCTCTGTGTGGTCTTTTGTCGGCCGGAGTGGAGGTTAGCTGATGGTGGGGCAGGGCCAGCTGGGCTGGGTTCTGAGCCCTGGCATCTCCACTTGGCATCCACCTACTTTGCACTCACCCCTCTGTCTAGACGAGGGCCTCGCCCAGGGCCTGCCGCCTCTGCCCGCTCCTGGTGCCCATTCGGGGATGCTAAGGCCACCCACAAGAACAGCACACAGGCTCAGAAGCCTCATCCAAGAGGCCGTTCCGCCCACCCTTCCAGGCCCTTGCAGGCAGGCAGCTGACACGCTAGCAGACGCAGGGAGAGTCCAAAGTGCAGGAAAGCTCAGCCAGGGACCCCAGGCTGAGAGCAAGGGGGGGGGGTGGGCAGCAAGGCTGCCCTCCAGCCTGGCCTCAGCAGCACCCTCACCCCCACCCCTGTGTTATGACTTGGTTTATTTTGGGGGGGAACCACACCCAGTGGTGCTGGGGAGTCTCCTCCCAGCTTGATGCTCAGGGCTCACTCCTAGAGGTCCTTGGGGGGCTATGTGGGGTTTCACCCAGGCCTCCCACATTCCAAGCACGCACCCAGCCTATAGAACTCTCTTCCTGGTTATGTGTATTACACACTTACTAAATTATTTGTAGGTTTCTCCTTTGGATCTCACTTGGCGGTGCCCAGGGCTTACTCCTGGCTCTGCACGCAAGGATAACTCCTTGTGGGGTTTGGGGGACTAGATGGGGTACCCGTGATGGAACCCGAGCTAGCTATATATCACAAAACACCTTCCCTTCTGTACTATTTCTCTGGACCTTCTGCAGAGGTTTTTTTTTTCTACTCAGAACTTCCTTCATCCACAGCTTCTCAAGCTTACTTGACATCTTTCACTTGCTGATGGAGAATAAGAGCAATCAGTGCTGGTGTGGATGCAGGGAGAAAGGGACTCTTCTTCAGTGTTGGTGGGAATGCTGACTGGTCCAGCCTTTTGGGAAAACAATAGGGACATTCCTCAAAAAAACTAGAAATTGAGCTCCCAACTGACCCAGCAATACCACTTCTGGGAATATGCGCTGAGGGCTCAAAAAACACACAGCAGAAACGCCATCTGCACGCCTATGTTCATTGCAGCACTATTCACAACAGCCAGAATCTGGAAACAGCCTGAGTGCCTGAGAACAGATGACTGGATAAAGAAACTATGGCACATCTACACAGTGGAATATGATGCATAGTTAGGAAAAATGAGGTTATGAAATTTCCTATAAATGGAAGTTAAATGACAGATATTAAATGACTGCATTCATCTGTGGGATATTTTTAAAAATATGAAACTAATATTCAAGGCCAGGGAAAATGGGCCAGGAGGACTGGTCAATGGTTGGAAATTACCGCAAGGGTGTGAGTGGTGGAAGGTAGTTATGATAGAGGAGAGTCCATTTTAACACATTAGCTGGAAATGATCACTCTTTTGGATAAGAACTGTGTGTTGAAAGTAGGTAAAGGGATGTACGTGATAACCTTTCAGCCACTGTGTTGCAAATCATAATGTTCAAAATGAGAGAGAGAGAGAGAGAGAGAGAGAGAGAGAGAGAGAGAGAGAGAGAGAGAGAAGGTGCAGGAGGAGCAGGAGGAGGAGGAAGAGCAGGAGGAGGAGCAGGAGGAGCAGGAGGAGGAGGAGGAGGAACAGGAGGAGGCCATCCCACTGAAGCTGAGGTGCCTTTTGTTCCAGCTGCACCCAGACCTAGCGCCCCGTCCTCACACACAAAGCACCACCGATGATGGCACCTCAGGGACTTGCCTTGTTCAAGGCTGCTGTGGGGGGTGACTGTGGCTGCTGTGCTGGAGTTGGAGGCTTCTGGGGTCCCCTCAGGCATCGGTTCTCCAGAGAACTCGGCATCGTCGGAGGCAGGCGGTGGAGTTGGAGGGACGTCCATGGGGTCAACTTTGAGTTCTCCCGACTGGAGGGAGAAAGAAGAGGACCCCTGAGGATTTACTCGGCAGGAAAGTAGAGGATGGCAGTGATGGTCAGGGAGGAAAGATTAAGGCCCTGAAGCGCCGAGGGAGCCAGAGAAAGCCCAGACCCTGTGAGTTGACCTGCAGGGCAGCTGGCTTCACAGGACATGTGACAATCCAAGTCAGCTATTCCGCTGAAGTTCTCGGAGCCCCAGCACGCCTGTGCCCCCCCCCCACCCCCCGCAGTGGTGCTGGCTGGACGCAGGTGCGTCCAAGGCAAGTGCCTTACCCACCGCTCATTCTCTCCAGCCCAGCCTTCTAAATTTAAGAAAGAACCATACTGTGGGCTGACTGGAAGGTGTGGAGGGGTGAGGCTGTGGAGGAGGCAGCTGGGGGCAGTTCTGTCTGCAGGAGCTCAGTTGGACCCCTGCTGCCGTGTGGCCCCCTGAGCACTGTCCCGAGCTGCCCCTGTGTGGCCTCCCTCTCTGCACCCCAAATAAGACAATGGTGGCGGGTAGCACTTTAGGGTTAAGCTTGCCACGTGCTGCACCCCCCTCTCACGCATTCACAGGGGGTACTCGCTCCACACCCATTTTCAGAAGCTATGCGGGTGCCAGGCCTGGGGTGAGCTCCAGGGATGAAGGAATGAACGTCAGGCTGTGGAGCTGCCCCCAACCTACTGGGCTGTGGGAGACTCCCCGGCCCCAACTCACTGCCACTGAACTTGACATGACAGCAACAGGGGCCCCATGAAGCAGCCACCTTCTGTGTTCACAGAGGACATGGGCTGGCCAGCACCCTGCCCCACGTCCACTCCCACAGCTCCTGGGGATGGTCTGAAGACTGGACGGGTCATGGCAGGGCCTGAACTCCGGGCTCCACTCAGCCAGGCCCCCAAGGGCTTGTTGTTTCCTGTCCTCCTGGCCTTTACTTATCCACAGGTAGAAAGGACAGTTTTCAGCACACTGCTAGCCAGGAACCGAGGTGAAGCCGAGGCCCCCAGTGCTAAGGGACTCTTGTCTGCTGGATGCCTCGGTGAGGAGGGTGTCCTTCTCACGGTCTGTCTCATCTGTCTCTGTCTCCTGGCACGTATCTCTCTGTCTGTCCGTCTCAGTCTCCCAACCCCTATCTCTACCTCTGTCTCCCGTCCTTATCTCTGTCTCTGTCTCCAGGCCCTTATCTCTTTTTTTGTCTCCCGGCCCTTATCTCTGTCTCTGTCCCCTGACCCTGATCTCTGCCTGTCCGGCAGCCTCTGGCTCCTGGAGGCTTCCTGCACCCTCTGGTTGCTGAGCAGACACGGCCACAGGTGGGGCTTCTGCATCGATGACTCAGACTGGAGACCGCCTGTATTAGAGCAGTGTTTCATGGCTGGACCTAGAGACTGTCTACACTGGAACCATGTCTCGTGGCATTAGAACCATACCTCACGGCTGGATACTGTCTGCATTAGAACTGTGTCTTGTGGCTGCATACTGTCTACACTAGAATCAGGTCTCGTGGCTGAAGGTTGCATTAGAACCGTGTCTCGTGGTTGAATACTGTCTGCATTAGAACTGTATCTCATATCTGGAGGTTGCATTAGAACCGTGTCTCATGGCTGGGGACTGTCTGCACTGGAACAGTGTCTTGTGGCTGGAGATTGCATTAGAGCTGTGTCTCCTGGCTGGAGACTGTCTGCATTAGAACCTTGTCTGTGGCTGGAGACTGCATTGAAACAGTGTCTCACAGCTGGAGTGTGACTCAGGGTTCTGAGACCACCGAGTGCATCTGGGGTACAGGGACAGCCCAGCTCTGGTGGGGCAGGACTATGCATCTCCTAGGAGGACACTTCTCTTGGCCCGAGTGAGTGTGACAGCACAGCCAATGGGCACCGGCCCCCAGTCAGGGCTGCTTTCCTGAGAGCTGGCCCTGTCCTGCCTTCACGGACCCTGAAAATAAGGCCCTGAGTCAGGAGGTCTCTGGGTCTTGTTTTCCGGTTGAGAAGCCAGAAGGGCCACGTCCGTGGCCCAGACTCTAAGCGGGGGGTGACAGAGACCGTGTCCACACACTGGCTCTACACCCTGGCCATGTTGCAAACAGCTGTTGGGTCAGTACTTTGTAGATCTCCCCAGTGCAGATCTGAGCGCTGGGACGCCAGGGCTGGGTTCTAGAAGCTGCCCATGAACTCGCGGTCCCAATATCACTGACCCCTGCGAGGGGACACTGTGACACTCACCGGGGCTTGCGTGAACATCTCCGCCTCCAAGATCTCAGCTACGCCCTCTGTCTCCTGGAACCCGCTGGCCTCGCCCGACCCCTGCGGGGGAGAGGTGGTGATAGGCAGGGGTCACTTACCATTGGGCAAGTCAGTGTGTGTGTGTGTGTGTGTGTGTGTGTGTGTGTGTGTGAGAGAGAGAGAGAGAGAGACAGACAGACAGACAGAGAGGAAGGGATGGGAAGTGATGTAGCCAGTTCATGCACAGTGCACTTGTTTAGCTGTTCTTTCTTCCCACATTCTATGACTCAAGCAAAAGGTAAAAAACAACCCCACTTCTAAGCTCTCCCCCACTTCCAAGCTCACCCCCACTTTCACGCTCATTCCCACTTCCAGGCTCACCCCCTTTCCAGGCTCACTCCCACTTCCGGGCTCACCCCCCACTATCCTCCTTGTGCCGGCTCCCCTTCTGCGTCTGCCAGAGGCTGTGCTCCTCCCCTCTGCACCGGCCCCAGGTTGTACCTCAGGAGCTGCCAGGCAGAGGCCGGGCTGCACCTAATCCTCCGGGTCCCTCATTCCCTCACAGGATCCACCCAGAGCCAGGCTCCAGGCGACTCTGCATACGTGAGCAAACCTTCCCAGGCTCTCTCAACTTGATTCTACTTTTCCACTATGAGGCAGAGGGGCAGAAGGGGCTCCCGTGAACATGGGTTGGGGACCCGGCCTGGGAGAGGCAGACTGGGAGAGGCAGACATTCTTACAGGGAGATGTTTTCTCCTGGGGCATGGAAGCGACTCTGGTGTGGGGGCTGGTGTCAACCTCCCCAATGGAGCAGACAACCTGGCCTCTGCCGGCCCTGCTCAACTCGGCCCCACCCCAGACCCTTCTCCCTTTCTCCAGCTGCTCCTGCTTCCTCCTCTGCCTCCTCACCCCGTAGACTTCAGGGGGGATAGAACCCTGACGCCACCATTCTCACAAGGTCACCGCATTGGGCTGGGCCAGTGCAGGGATAGAGTGTCCCCTCCCATCTCTGTCTCCTCCAGCACCCCCCAGTCAGGGCACTCAGCCGGCAAGGAGGTGGAGGAGGGAGAGAGAACCCTGCCCCACCCCACCCCCGCCCCATCTCTCTCTCTCTCTCTCTCTCTCTCTCTCTCTCTCTCTCTCTCACACACACACACACACACACACACACACTCTTTAGGGGCCGGCTCCACTGCCAGGCACGCATGCAGGCGCGTTTCAGGGTTATTTTTGTAGGAATCGACACCCGGAATGTCGTGGAGCTGTGACTTCCATTTTAGAAAGCCTGACACCCTCTTCTTGGCAGGAAGTCTGGAAAGCAGGGCATGGACTGGCACGGCCCCCTGGCAGAACCTCGCACCTCGGAGGGAGAAGCACAGCCCCCACCCCACGCCAGAGAGACGGCAGAGGCCCTAAAAAAATAAAGACCCGAAGCTTAAAATAGGAGCTGCAGCCCGGAGGCGAGGTCCAACAGACACAGTGACGTGGGCACTGGAGCCTGTCTCTGGGCACCAGGCCCTCCCCTGGCCTCCCCTGGGGGTACTCACCGAGGAGCTCTCAGCCTCGCAGTGCTCCTCAGGCGTCCTGGGGTCAGGGTGCACGATCAGTTGCTGGATGGAGCCCTGCGGAGAGAGGAGCAGAGGGTCAGAGGTGCCGAGACCAGGAGCCCAAGGCCCCTCCTGGCTGCTTTGGTTTCTGGGGACAGAAACCAAACCATCCCTGCACTGGCCAGCCCAATGCGGTGACCTTGTGAGAATGGTGCATCAGGGTTCTCTCCCCCCTGAGCAAATACGATCCCAGCCCCACAGCTGGAACAGTCCTGGAGGGTGCTGAGTCCAAGGCACAGACAAGCTCAGGACCTCTCGTCATGGTTTCCCTGGGCCCCTGTCCTGGCAGTGGCCAGCCCTGGGCCCCTGGACATGTCCTTCTCTCTGCTAACTGGTGTACCCCCAACTGGAAGGCCTTGCTCCAGCCTCACCTCCCCGCACCCCGGACTAGCCCTAAGTGGAGTGTTTCAAACCCCTCACGGCTGGGGACATAGCACATGTGGTTGGGCTGACAGTGAGGGGCTCTTAATTGGCCTTCCTCACCCAGGGCCCTATAAGAGAAACGGGTTGGCGGAGCCTCCCCTGCAGACTCAGGGCCCCTTGAGTTAGCACTACCCCCGCAGTGCTGGGAGTGGGGGTGGTGGGGGGCGGTCAGGCAGTGCCAGCACTCAGACCTGGACCTTCTACACACGGGGAATGGGCTCCAGACTTTGGAGATCTCTGGTCCCAAATAATTCTATTTGTTCTTTTTTAATTTTGCTTATTGGATGTGAACTTGTTAACATTTACTATCTTCAACCGTACTACAAATAATCCCTGACTCTGCCGCCACTCAGCCCCACAGTCAGGTAACTTTAAGGACAGGTGGGGGCTCTGTGAAGAACTAGGATCCTAGGAGAATTTCTCTAGAAGGCTTATTCAGGGGAGCACTGAGATGGTGACCTCAGTTTAAGGGCACGTTGTCTACAAGTGGTAAAGAATCAGCTCTGGGCCAGGGCCAGGGCTCAAAGGTCAAAGGGCTAGAGCACAGGCTTTGCATGGAGGGTGGGGCATGGGGGCCATCCCCAGTACTGCAGGGTCCCCCAAGCATGGCCAGGAGGGACCCGCAGCATCCAGAGGGTGTGGCCAAAAAAGAGAGAAGGGGAGAGGGATAGAGAGAAAGGAGAAAATTAAGGAAGGAAAGAGGGGAAGGGGAAGAGAGGAAGGAGGGAGGAAGGAAGGAGGAAAGGAGAAGGAAGGAAGGAAGAAAGGAAGGAAGGGAGGGAGGAAGGGAGGAAGGAAGGAAGGAAGGAAGGATGAAGGAAGGCAGGGAGGGAGAAAAGAAGAGAGAGAAGGAAGGAGATAAAGAAGAACAGAAGAACGAGGAGAGAGGGAAGGAAGGAGAAAAAAGGAAGAAGGAAGGAAGGAAAGGAGAAGGAAGGAAGGAAGAAAGGAAGGAAGGGAGGGAGGAAGGGAGGGAGGGAGGAAGGGAGGAAGGAAGGAAGGAAGGAAGGGAGGGAGGAAGGAAGAAAGGAAGGAAGGGAGGGAGGAAGAAAGGAAGGAAGGGAGGGAGGAAGGAAGAAAGGAAGGAAGGGAGGGAGGAAGGGAGGAAGGAAGGAAGGGAGGAAGGAAGGAAGGAAGGATGAAGGAAGGCAGGGAGGGAGAAAAGAAGAGAGAGAAGGAAAGAGATAAAGAAGGACAGAAGAACGAGGAGAGAGGGAAGGAAGGAGAAAAAAGGAAGAAGGAAGGAAGGAGGAAAGAAGGAAGGAAGTAGGAAGGAAGGAGGGAGGGAGAGAAGGAAGGAAAGGAGAGGAGAAGGGGAAAAGAAGAAAGGAGGGGAGGGGTGGGGAGAGGAGGAGAGGAGGAAATCAGCCACCTCTCACTCAGCTCATTCTAGCTCATTCCACCCTGGCAGGAACCGCCTAAGTGCTGCTGCCACGGCACCCAAAGATAAACCCGTCAGCTGGAAGAAGCCTTCCTCTCTCCTGATGCCTGCGAATGTGCAAAGTGCCTTCACACCCTCTCACTGGAGCCCGCAAGCCCGCAGATGGGTTTCCTTCGCCCCACTGCAGAGAAGACAGCAGCGGGGGCTGGAGAACCCAGGGCGGGCTTCGCAGGGGCTTGGGTTGGGGCCAGGAGCCAGGTGTGTGTGTGTGTGGGGGGCAGGGCTCCATCCCCCCACCCCGCTCCAGGCCTCTCTGGGACCCTGAGGATAAATAAACGAGCAACCGCGACAGGGGGCCGGGGCGGTGGCGGCCAGCAGCGCCCGCCCTGCAGCGCTGGACCCCGACTTACGATGAACCTCTCCAGCCCCGTGGCTCCCGCGTTGCCCACGAAGACGCCCGCGCTGGGCTCGACGGTCAGGGCGCGGGCGGAGCGCCGGAAGGTGACGGCGCCCCGCTCCTCGCAGTCCAGCAGGAGGCGCACGCGGTCCCCCTGGACCACCACGGCCAAGCGGCTCCAGCGCCGCGTGAGCACCGGCACCCGGAAGGCGGCGGCCTCCTGGGACACGCGGGAGCCGGGCTCGGTGTAGTAGAGCAGGACGCGCTGGCCGCCGTCCTCCTCGCCCGACAGCCGCAGGCCCAGGTGGATGACCTTCTGCAGGGCGTCGGTGATGGCGAAGAGCACGCCGCCCTGGGCGCCGTCGGGCCTCACGGCCGCGCTGATGGCAAAGTCGCGGAAGAAGGTGGCAGGGATGAGCGTCCGGGCCGGGCGGCCCACGTTGGCCCCCGGGCCAAAGCTGTAGGCGGGAAGGCCACCGTAGCCCGGGACGAAGGACACGGAGGAGGGCAGCGGGATGCCGATGAGTTCCGTGAGGTCCAGCGGGCCCCGGGCGATGGATTCTGCAGAGAGGGGGAGCATCACTGCACATGTCCCACAAAGCTTGAGAATGGGGTGCTCCAGAACCCCAAGGACGGGTTTTCTCTCCCTTTTGGGGGGTGACCTCCCAAGCAGGGACCACAGCCGGCCCCCACCCTGCTATCCTCTGAAATGATTCGTTGTACCTCCAGACGCTGCCCACTTTGCCTGCCACGGCACCTACCATTTCACCCTCTGCCTCCCTACCCTCCTTCATCCCTCCTGGGGTGCCGCAGACCTCCCCAGACACACTCAGTGCTCCATCACCCCTACATGGTCACTTGTGTCTCCCCAGTGGGCCCTGAAGGAAAAGGACCCATCATGTCCAAGGTCCCCAGTGCCACTGAGTGAACCAAACAACCACAGATGGGCCGGGAGCCAAGCAGGGCGGCCGGATGCTGGGAAAGGGCGGAGATCTGATTTCCACATCTGAGCTTCCCTCCCCCTCCAGCTTGGTTTTGGGGGCTGTTTTTGGGGGGGCCGAACCCAGCTGTGCTCAGGACTTATTCCTGACAGTGCTTGGGGAAGAACTGTAGAAGATCCCTGGGGTTGAACCTGGGTTAGCAGCATGTACACGTGTATTCACCAACCCAGCGGTGACACATCTGTGACTGTTCCTACTAGCAGAGAAAGTGACATCCATGAAATGGAAGGCACCAGAACACAGCTCAAAGCACCTGTGAGCCTTCGTCCCTGGGGATGGTTGGGCAGTTTATAATGCCTTCTGCTAGGTCTGGTCAATGGCGCGATGGCAGACATGAACCCTCGCGCATTCACACACACATCACTCGATGAGGAAGAAAAACGAACAGCCCCCAGAGTGGATGGAAATGCATACACGAAGCTATTAGATCATACTAGAAGGCTCTGGAGAGCAGAAACTACAGCTGGAGACTCTCCTGTGGACGGACTGTGGACAAAGGCGAAAGGCTTGTGAGTTCTTTTGTTTGCTCTGGGTGCTCTCGTACTTCTGAAACCTTATACCTTGTGTTTGGTGTAAAAAAAACAAACCCAGACATTCATGTACTTTTACACATCACCTCCTTCCATCCCCTTCCGGACACAATGGCGTCTTCCTTCTTATCTTCCCTTGCCCCGATATACCTCGTCTTTGCACAGAAAAGGAGGGGGAAACGGTGGGCGGGAGTGGAGAGCAGCGCCCCCCACTGAGGTAGGTTTCTCTTCCCGGCTCCGGTTTAAAGATAAAAACTAAACAGAGCCGCACGTAGACTGCAGGGAGCCGGGCTCTGGGTCCTGGCTGAGCCCCTGAGAAGCTGTCAGCCAGCTCCCGTCTCCCTCAGGGAGCTGGTGCACAGGCCTCGTCCCATCGGGGGTGTAGCTCCCCAGGGAGCCTCTCTATCCGCCACCTGTTTCCACATGGCGTTTGGGGAGCTGGGGCAGGGGGTGCTGTGGGGAGCCAGGGAACAGGCTGAAAGCCCCAAGCCTAGAGCTGCCATGGCAGACTTAGCTCAGAGTGGCAACCCTGGGAATTTTGCTTTCCTTTGGGGCCACACCTGGCAGTGCTCAGGGCTTACTCCTAAGCATTGCTGGGGATCGAACCCAGGTAGGCCACAAGCAAGACAAGCAATTTGCACGCTGCACTGGGCCTCCAGAGCCAACCCTGAGAATTTTTCACCCCAGAAGGATTGTCCTCTGATGAAACATCAGGAACATGACCAACCTACTTGGTAGGACTGTAGCACTGTCCTCCCATTGTTCATCGATTTGCTTGAGCGGGCAACAGTAATGTCTCCATTGAGACTTTTTTGGCATATTGAATACACCACGGGGAGCTTGCCGGCTCTGCCGTGTGGGTGAGAAACTCTTGGGAGCTTGCCGGGCTCTCCGAGAGGGATGGAGAAATCGAACCCGGGTTGGCCATGTGCAAGGCAAATGCCCTACCCGCTGTGCTATCGCTCCAGTCCCCTACTTGGTATATTTTCCATTAATTACAGTGATAATACACAGTCACAAAGTTGTTCATGATTGGGTTTCAGTCATATAATGTTCCAGCACCTGTCCCTTCAGCAGTGTACATTTCCCACCAACAATGTCCCCAGTTTCCCTCCTGCCCTACCTGACACTATGGCAGGTACTTATCTCTCTCTCTCTCTCTCTCTCTCTCTCTCTGTCTCCTTTGGGGCTTTATGGTTTGCAATACAGATAATGAAAGGTTGTCAGGTATATCCCTTTACCTTGTCCTTCACCTCGGCCCCCCCTCCCCCAACACACACACACACACACACACACACACACACACACACTCTTGTGGTACACTTCCAATCACTGACCAGTTCTTCTGGCCCCTGCTTATCTCACCTTGGATATTGGTGGTCTATATATATATCCCACAAATGAACACAGTCATTCTCTGCCTGTTCTTTTCCTTCTGACTCATTTCACTCAGCATGATACTCTCCATGTCCAGCCATTTATAATCACATTTCACGACTTCCTACTTGGCATTTTTTTAAGAGGGGAGGAACCCAAGCCACGCTTTGGGGATCCCGGGCCGCTCCTGGTGGTACCCGGCTAGCCAGGCCTAAAAGTCCAGGCTTAGTTCCCGTGGCGGGTGGGGACCACTGGGGCTGCACTGAGGGACCCTGTAGTCCTTTGCCTGTGCCTGACCCATGTCCTTTTGCTTTACAGAGGAGACGGTCAAGACACGAGCTCCAGGGGCGGAGACAGCAGCAGAATGCTGCCTGGGAGCAGGAAGCACAACTGGACAGGGGTCCAGGGGGTGTTGGTACTCCAGAATCCCTCCCACAAGCCCCTGGGGGTCTGTGGCCTCCAGCAAAGACCATCATGATGGTCCATTGGAGAGAAAGACAGGAGGCTCCTGGGCTTGGGTTCGGCTCTGGCATTTACCTAACAGGCAGCTCCAAGGTGGGTTGCGGTGTCCTTGTGCGTTTTCCACTGGGAACCCACCAAGACGAAGGCAGGGGATGAACTCTGGGCAGCGCCGACTGGCATTGGATCCGGTTCAAAGGTCCAATCAGAGCTGAGACCCTTTCCCCACTGCCTGCACCCCTGTCGCCCAGACCATGGACCCCCGAGGGAGGAGTGCGCAGGCTACAGGCCACCAGCATATGTCCCCACCAGCCAGCCCACGGCGGGAGCCAAGCCAAGAGCCCAGTGAGCAGCCCCGGCCTCCAGCGCCCGCTTCCCTCCATTGTCCAGGCGGGACGACCCCTGGCCCGGACTGACCCCGGCAGAGGCTGCTGGCTGACTGCCCCTGCCTCTGGCGGGAGGACCACCTGCTCTGGCCACCCCTGGGGAAGAGAGGGAAGCCTGGAGCCAAGACAAACAGGCCCAGCCACTCGGGCCCAGGGCCTGACCTGAGATGCCTCTGGCTGGGGGAGGCGGGGGGACAACACAGCTGGAGCGGAGACAGCCCCCCACTCTACCCCGGAGGGGCCCCTCCGCAGAGCCAGGCTGGTGGGGGTTGCTTGGGTCACTCTCTAGGCCCAGAAATCTCTCTCGGTGGGAGGGGGCCACCCAGAGGCACAGACACGGCTCCCGGCTCCCAGGACAGCCATGCACCCACAGTCCAGGACTAGACCCAGAGGGGAGGGCTGAGTAGGGGGGGCGGCCCCCGCTCCGTGAGAGCATCCCTGTCCTTGGCATCACCTGGACATCCCCTGGAGGTTTGGCCCGTGCTACTCTCATCACCTGTTACTTCCCCTCCTTGCTTCCCCCTCCTGATCCCCGCTAACCTGGGACTCTTGGTTCTGCGACCCAGCACACTGGGAATGTTACCATGTTACTATCTGTCCCCTTGATTCCTATGATTACAAGGCACAGATGAGTGAGGCTAGCATTTGTTCTTCTCCCCTTGGCTTCATCGGCTCGACCTGAGGCCCTCCAGCCATACCCACGCTGCGGCCAACCGCGTGATTCCATCTTTGGGTCGAGCTGCACTGTCTGTCTGGCAGTTTCTGCAAGCACTGTGAGTCACTGGGCATCAGGGCTCCATCCCCTGGCTCTCAGAGCAAGCACTGTGGCGAGCACAGGTGTGCATCTGACTTGGTCCAGGGCCGTCACTGCCTTCCCGACTCTCCAATGGCGGGATCAAAGCCTACCCTGAGCCTCCCTGCGATCCATGCGGCATCATTTCTCAAGGGGTAACTTTCCCGCAGCCCGGTGGGGCTGATCCAGGAGGTCAGGTCGTGCCACTCACAGACTCCAACGCCCCCCCCCCCCCCCGTGGCTCTCCAGTACTCTCGGGGACTGGATGCAATTGCAAACAAGACACCCTCCGCTTCGCCTCCTGCCCTCCTCTCCTGGCCAGCCTCCCCTCATGCTGTTGCCCCTCTTTCCATGGCCAAAGCTCTCTGCCTGCCCATCTGTAGCCCGTAGACGCAAGGGCACACCCTACTCTACACACAGCATTAAGGCATCACCTGGGCCTCTCAATGCCCACATCAGAGCTGGGCACAGAGCAGAAACTCATGGCCATGGCCCGCAGGTAAAAGGGCAGAGAAATGCAGAGACACAGACACAGAGACATAGAGTAATAGAGGTGCAGAGATACAGAGAGATGCAGAGACACAGAGATGTAGAAATAGACACACAGAGAGATACAGAGACACAAGGAGACATACAGATGCAGAGAGGCACAGATACAGAGATACAAAAAGATGGAGAGACACAAAGAGACACAGAGAGATATAGAGATGCAGAGACACAGAGAGAGGTAAGCACAAAGAGACAGAGACACAGAAAGATATAAAGATGTAGAGATTCAGAGATACAGAGAGATGCAGAGACACAAAGAGAAACAGAGACACAGAGAGATGCAGAAACACAGAGACACAGAGAGATGCAGAGACAAAGAGAAACTCAGAGACACAGCGACACCAAGAGATGCATAGGGCCAAGCTGCCTGGCATCTGGCTCAGAGCCCAGAGCACAGCTCTCCCTCTTCCCCAAGCCACGGAGGAGAAGCCAGTGGAGCCGGCCTTAGAGATGGACCGAGCAGAGG